ACTGATATAGTGCCATTTCCTTGTCTTTTTCCCTGTCTCACAAGGCTTCTTTTTTTCCCCAAAAAAATCAGCTCTTGAAAGTTTTCATTAATCCTAGGCTGCGTTTATTGGGTCTTGCCACTAGATATGTACATATCGTACCCCACTATCATACCCCACTATCAAACCCCACTATACGAAAGTGATTTGCGGGATGTCGCGTTTATCGTCTCTTCACGATTAAAAATAAAGGCCTTGTGTCTGCGCAGCTGTTTTGACCCGGGAAGCAGACAGTTTCTCGGAGGTCAACTACACACAAATGCTTATACACAAGTTAACACAACACATGGCGCGCGCTAGCCTCCGAACCGGAAATTAACCTGGGTGGTCCGATTTGTATGTGGGGTTCAAAACAGCTTTGCGTTTATCATCTCTCAGAAACGTGATTCTGGCTGTATGTCACATTAAAAACACACCTTTATGCGTCTTTAGATATGCCCATATCTAAAGACCTTTAAAAAAGGCTTTGCGTTTATCACCTTCTAAATTTGCCTGAAAGACGTTTGAGAAACCTGATTCTAGCCAAAAATTTGGTCAATAAAAAATGTGAATGATAACCATTATCATTTTCATTATGACTGAATATAATTTCTGTATTAAAAGCCCAAAGTATGCAGTTCCGTTGCATTAATATCATGAATACATGAATTCACGTCCCACTCCTGCCGCAACTTTTAAAGTTTCAGACTATCACAGAAAAAAAATCAGTTGTGACCTTATATTACGTATATTTCAAAGAAGATCATATTAGACTTCAATCATGATATTTATATATAAATGACTATATAATATATATCGCAATTTCCTTACCTTGTGGTTCAAGTCTGCACCATGCATCAGCAGATAATGTGCACATTGAAAGAACCCGTGTTCACATGCCTTAGCGAGACATATGTCGCCATGCGGGCTGACGGCATGCACATCAGCCCCTTGATCTAGAAGATATTTCACAGCTTCGTATTTGTTGCTTCCGTTCGGAATGGGTGTGTAAAGAAAACGGGCGGATGATCATTTGTTTATTTTAACCCGAAATAACTTAATGGATTACTTGAACATAGGCAAAGAGCACAACAATCACTGGACAATTTGGTTCCAATTCTGTTGCTGTACATTGCACCGTTTATGAATAACAGCTAATATATTCACTCATACAATTAATATTGAAGTCTTCAAACTGGCAACGCAAAAAATATTGTATAACCATTTTTGTTTGTTTTATGTACAAAATGGCAATTTCGTGTTTACGTGTTGATTATTTAATTCAAAGCTGTTTATTTTTTTTAAACACCTTTTTTACATTATGAAAGAGTGGGTTAGGGTAAAAAGGTACATAAAATGACAATTAAAAAGTCAGAAAAAATAGGAATAAACCGCAAAATAATGAACTAAAAATTAATGGATAAACAAATGATAACAAGTCAGCCATCATATATAAGTGTCACAGGTATTCTGGAGACAAATTACTCTGCAATAGAATATGCTATGGGGAATGGTGCGTAGGGGCGGGGTGGGGTGGGGGGGGGGGTACATCCCCACGCTAGTGTGGTTACAGTGCAGTTGACCGAAGGCCGGCGAGACCGAAAACCATATATTGTGTGCATTACACAACATGCAGTAGGCCTACATATGCTTTTGGCTTATGGTTGTAATTTTTATGACCGTAAATTTTGGTGCTTTTGATCCCTAGGCATATAAAGATTTACAATGCATTTTATAATAATTATAGGGGACAGTAGATTGAAAGCAAAATACTATACACCCTAAATCGGTTTTACCAAAAAGGTAAACTTGTCATGAAAAATATGAAATCTGAAAATTTATTACTCTTCTCATTTATGACTAAAATCACACTATCATAAATTAGGTCATTTCATTGCGATGACAATTGATGATTAAAATATCATAATGTTACTTGTAGAATGTGAGGGGGAAAATGCCAAGATACCTCTCCTTAAAAGTGAGAAATGATACGTGTCCTGGCTGCTGTAAATGCAGAAATAATAAATATGCCTAGTTGAAGGACGGATATTAAAATGCAACATTTGTACACGCTTAAATTTACTTGCCTCAATATAGACGTCGATGTAGAAAGTCGAGACAGATCTCATCACCCATTATTAGTTTACAATATCACACAGAGTTTTTGTTAAATGTAAAATATTGTTGGGGGCAGAATATTAGAAGAACTCATTGGTATTCGAAAACTGAAAATGTTTGCAAGATTTTGACCCGTAATAACGAGCGACCTAAGGAGGAAAACCGCCGTTTCTCCGGCGCTGGAATGTTTATTCTCATCCGAGTCTGTGGGCTATGCATCGTGTGCATGTAGCGCATGTCGCATGTTCAGGTTCAGGGGATGGTAGACCACCGCATTGCGCTAACTCGTTGAGTGTCAAAAAGTGAGGAATTTGGTTTTCTATCAAATGTCAGATATCTTGAAGAGTTTATGAAATAATAGTCTCTCACATAACATTGTTTAATATGGAGACTAAGTATACGTAGTTGAAGCGTAAATCTTATTTTCTCTTTCAAACAAAGTTCATCTATTAATAGTCTGATTAAACAAACTATTATTTCCCAGAGCATTTTTTAATTGGGCTCCTTTTTAGCATTAGCAAAATTAATGACAACCCTTCCACAGCTACAATGATGCACACACATACAAATGTGTCACGATGAATCTGTGTGCAGTAGGATATTTATAATAATTTATTATTGTCTGTATAAATAATGTCAACCATAAGCAGCCCAATTTGTCCCAGATAGATAGCTTACGTTATATTATGTACACGCGCGAAGTCTCGCGGACCTTCAGTCAAGTGGGCAGACCCCAATAGTGCCTCAATGGACAGAAAGGTCATACAAATTCATTTAAACTAACATGTATAATTTCGATTATCAAAAATTAATCGAGGAAGTAAAACAAAAAGTACAGATAAACAATGAATACATACTGACAAATCAATATTAAATTAACTCGAAGGTACATTACTACAACCAAAAGGTACATGTGAGAATTTCTTCTTACATGATAACAGATTTTAATGATGCGCAAATAACTTTTCTCTTTTTAGATGCATTTAACATGAATTCAACATGAATTTGATTAAATTTAAATTCATCAGAGAAACGCATGCTAATGGTGAAATTAGAAAATATTTTGTAAAGCAAATTAGATATGAGATAACCTTCTGTTTGGAACCGTCTTCAGGAGAATGTGTGTACAATGGCTTATAGACTCGGACGAAAAAACCTGCGGGATATCTAATTTTACTGATTTAAAAAACCTTTTCATGTGAATCATGTTGTAACATCAATGTGGGATGATGGAAATTGACTTTCTCTGTTAGATTTTGAATAATGTATTAACAGATTAGCAAACACAAATTATCATTTGTTTTACAAAAAACACTGTCTTTTCTTGGAGTATCTTACGCAAGTGTCGAATGGTGAAGTGGGGAACAGTGGTCGTTATCAATAAAGGCCCCTTTCCCAACGAGGAACTTCATCATGTGTACATCTCCTTTAAGTGCACTGCACCCTAACAGTGTTATACCCGGCTCTGGCTCATAATGAATCTAGATGCAAAAAGATAAAGAAAACTACTATACATAATCTTTTCACGGACAGCTTTTCTTCAACTCCCGTTAACGATAGGATTCGCTGTATCTATAATATGAATGCTTCGTAAACTCTTAAATTTAATATCGCATGAGGGAAACAAGATCCAGCTCATTAACCCCCCTCATTTTGACACCTACGTGGCATAACTAATATGTATACATAAGCCGAACATGTGCTCCCTTTTAAAATTGGTTTACCTTTCTTTCTTCTTTCTTCTCCTTCTTTTTTTGTTGTTGTTACAGAATTCGAGAATATAGGAAAACCCCCAAAATTTGATGACTTTGGTACTCCCTCCCCCTGTATGGAATTCTAGATCCGACTCTTAGTACTAACCGATTCTGGGTGTATAGCCAAGATACGCTCTACTGCTTTGATGTCACCTGCGTCTACATCAAGCACGATGCTCCTTTCATGATTCTGCATGATCCGAGGGACACCTAGAGGCAAGGAAAAACATTTTCATATAAAGCTTGTAACGAATGCTCGCGTAATCACGTTTTACGTTTTGAGTACTTTCGTAGATACAATCTAATCCAGCGTTTGTCATACTTTTTATAGTCACGGCAGAGAAATAAAAACATTTGCGATATATGACGATATTCGGGCACCTCGCTAACAAAAGAGATATTCTGGCACCTCGTTTTCAGATGTATGCGAGAGAGCGCGGAGCGACTGAGGAAAAAAGTCACTGTATTGTCCTTAAAACTTTATTTCTGCATGAAAATAAAAAGCAGTTTCTGATAATTTGTTTTCACAAAATTTTATTTCATTACAGATCCAGAAATAGTTTAACGAATTTGTCTCGCGGCACCGCTGTCTTGAGGTTGTTGTGGCACTTGTTGAAAAACGCTGATGTAATTTTCGAAGTGTAAGGTTGACACAGTAAATCATGAATTCTCAGGCTGTGCGAGTACGCGACGTGACTCGTATTAAACCCTACATTTTACCGGTGTCTGACATAGGGGAACGTGTATAACAATGGAACGAAGTTTTTATTCACAAGGCCTGCAGACAAGTCCACAAGTCCGCAACTACTAAATGAAAATACAGATGATACAATATCTAATCTAAAGATCTATGAATTATATTTAATTTTTTACCGTATGACGCAAATCCGATTGCTTCCGAAAGCGATGATGATTCCTTCTTGAAAAATAATATCAAAGGGTGAATTGCAAGGAAATGTGCTAATAGGACTTTCACTTATTGATTCGTGATTTTTATTTTATTTATAAATTAATTTATTTAATTTATTCATGAATTTATTTTATTTATGTTTTTATCATTTTTTTTTATAATATCTTTTTCGAGGAGGGGGGGGGGGGGCAATTAAAGTTTGCATCCTCTTTGGATGTAGATATTGAACCAAATTGTAATGTGTAATCGTAAATGTAATCAACTTTTATAAATGGAGAGCCTTGATTTAGTCAGCACTATTGTTCTTTTTACTTAAAACTTACCACGCAATTTTTCTTTAATATCTACATCTGGTTTAGGAGCACGAAACCGTTCTGGAGTCAAGTTTACAGAATTGAAAACGAATTTGTGATTGCCCTTGATTTTGACGTGAATATCCGATCCGTCAATCTCTACCACCTTTCCAACTGTACCGATGGCCTAGAACAGGAATATAATGATCATGATTATTGGGCTACATAATTGTTTTGTTTGTAATGTGGAAGTAAATAGAAGGATGGAGGGCTGATATCATTGCCCGTATATTAACTTCGTTTGCGACCTAAGCGAGAGAGTTATAACAAAATATAGATTCGATATGGCATAACAAAAACGAGCATCTGTGATGCCGAAATATAGGAACCTTGTTAGTTCTCGAGGGGAGGGGTTCGCAGAAAGCAGCTCCCCTCTCCCGCCTCGCGCACCCGTATTCTATAGATAAAATAGTTATAAAGACAGAAGTCACCTGTTTCATAGCTGCCGTCCATCCGCCATGTCCAGACTGTAATCTTTTGACCATCTCGATATCATCACTTATCCGGACAAGCTGACCGAGACTTAATGGATGAATCTAAAACGAACAGGTGGATAGAAATGGAAATGGTAAGAGTACTAATGATATCAAGAAAATTGTTGATAATTATGTGTCCCCGTAGATTTGGTAATTATTTAATAACAATAACAACAACAACAATTGCAAAAACAGCAAAAGTAATGATGATAATTATTATACTAATACTATTGATAATAGTAGGTTATTGTTAAGCACTCATGTCTGTCAGGCTTGACACTCCTGGAGCTTCTAAATTAACATGGCTGCCGGTATGGTACCTGAGCATTTCTAGAAAAGGAATGAATTCCTGCTAGGTACCAAGTAACCTCATTTGGGTTGAGCGTGGCAAATGGAAATTTATGTCTTGCCAAAGGAAATTAATGCTGCGGTGGGGATTCGAAACCCGTTACCTGTTTGGTTACTGAACCCCCGTATCACGGTACCTCTACAATTAGACCCCATTTATCAAGAAATATATCATAAAAACATTTGTATAGTCAGTTAGGTATAAGCAAGGCCTGCTGGTTATGTCATAGTTACCTTCCTTAGAGCTGCAGAATTCATAGTAAATGTTTCTTGGCTGTCATGGAAAGTCACTGTGAAGTCACCAGTATTCGTCCTTTTAAGCACATATCCCTTCTCGAGAAACGTCTGTGTATAGACAGAGAAAGTAATAGTAAATATGTTTGCCTATTCAAATTTCTGCATTTTATTTTTAAAGTTACATTTAATTTGCAATAATGACGATAAAGTAATTAAAAATAAAACTTCGCACAGTTACTTTAAGTGCCATGTTACAAATTATTGTATTCACTAGTTACGAATAATAATTACAATACTCAGAATGCGAATTGCATATATTAGTTGCTGCGAGGTAGGCCAACAATTGTAAAATTTGAATTGTTGCTTGCAAATGAGTTTTACGAAACAAATTCCAGTGACATTTTAAAAGTCTTTGTTATTATTGTTTAAATGGTCCTCATACTATGTTGAAGAGCAAATTGTGAAGCGCTTTGTAACTGCACGGCTATACCAACTACTCTGTAGATTGGATTGGAGATTAAATCTTCAGTCATATGTAGCATTAACATGTAACCATGAGAAATACCCACATGAAGCACTAGTATGTAAAAATGTTTCTTTGTGAACTCGATTCAATGTATAGTCATACTTGTCTATTGAGGCTACCCATGGGAAATAGAGAAAGTGGCTTTTGTAGACAGGTTCTACGAAATATATTTTTTTCTCTAGGGTGACAAAATACATGGCCGCTATATACAGGTGGCATTTGCAAGAGATTGGGCGCTAAGACAGGTATGACTGTAGTTTACTAACAGGGGCAGCGGTGGGATATACATTTACTGAATTGCAAAGATAAATTCCTCTCTATTATCAAGTTCATTCATTATTTGAATGGCAAAACATTAACGAATTAGTGTTTGAAATATTTGAAATAAAACAATTTTTTGGGGGTAAAAGCTAAAAATTGCAGCATCAAGATGTTATTTGGAAGAAATAAAGGAACCTAAATCTCTCCAACACTTGATGAAAGTATATAATAGATATTAGTGAATATAGACTTATACTCACTTTGGTCATATCTGGCTTCCACAATCCCCTGCGCTTGTGGAGTTCCTCCAATTCTGCAGGAGTGGCAGTTATCAGGACGTTGTCACCTTCATTCACTCGCTCCAGATCCCCTATGATTAGCGAACAACTAAGGTTAACAAATCTGTTCTATGTAGCCTAGCTCTTTCTTCTTTTACATGTCTCAAGGAAGACATCTATTTTTTTTTCTTCTAGTTTGTTCTTTTGTTTACATGTTTCATAACCCAATAAGCGATAGTGGTAATAGTAATCTCAGTTCCAATGATGATGATGATGATATGGATATTTATGACTATACAAATGACCATATCTTTCCGGGTCTATTTACATGATTTAAGAACATATTCTATCCCCTGATATCAATATTTATTGGTAGGCAGGGTAACCCCCGAAAGAATATCTGCGATCTGCAACTTCAGCGACCTCTTCACGGCTTGCCATACAATCAGCTGTTTTGACCGGACGGAAATACGTTTCTCAGCTCAGCTGGTTGTATGGGAAGCCGTCATGCGCACATTTCTCACGGCTGCAAGTATTTTGCCGGTTGTAAAAGTATCAAAGTTTGAAAAAATATTGCCTCACAAAAATATCTGTAGAATCAAAACGCCTTACCGAAACACTTATAATCTTGGTGTCATTTTACCCGGAAAAAACAGAAATCAGTGGTGTCTTCGAAGGTGGTGTCTTCGAAATGGTGTCTTCGAAATTGCTGATCTCAGGTGTTGCAGACTTTTTGGAGCACCTCGTATATACAACTACTTGGAAAAATAAGAGATAAAATAAATTGTCTTAATTGTTAAACTCTAAGCACTCTAAGACATTGCTATTCTCACCAAGATTTGCTAAGTGTCCAGCATACACAAAACCTCCTGACCCTGGTAGTGTACAGAAGATTTTATTGAGGTCTACCCTCTCTCGCCCAGAAGAGAACTCAACCGCTGCTCGTACATTGACTTTATCCTCAAGTGTCTGTCCATGTCTGACTACTGTCCCGAGTAGCTTATCTGGAAAGAAATAAAATAAAAGGTCTGATAGATATCATTTGTATCTAGAGACTTCCTTGATTATTCTTCATTTCTGTCGCCAAATGCAATTATTTGGAGATTTCACCTGGATTATGTAACATACATGTGCGGTGAACCCTTTTGATTAAATACTATGATAGCCACTTTACTTGTTCATGCGCATTGTCAACATCTCTTTGGAGAGTATATATATATATATATATATATATAGAGTGGAAGATATCAAGACGAACCTGACTCAAGTCTCTTGTGCCACTGGGGATGTTTGACAACTTTTGCTCCAGCAAAGCTTCCTTTAAGAGCAAGACGAGGAGATGATGATCTTGGTAGCATCTTAGGACTGCATCAATTACAAAAATCAATATCGAACGCTGGAAACTGTTATGTGTCAACTTGTAGCAACGGAATATTGGTAAATTTAGGTCTGACTTCGATTTTCTGATTTTCAAAGACACTAACTAAGATTCCAACATGTTAAATAAACATTCTTATTGGTCTGTAGAGGCCGTTTCATGAATCTGTCATAAGTCTAACTTTGTGGAAATTCCATTGAAATGTGTTAAAGAATTAACACGAATTTTATATGAAAATTCTTTGAACTTAGACTTATGATGGTTTCGAGTTTACAGGCCCCAGGAGGTTTTCTTTTATCGGCATTAAAAAAACACAATACCAGTAATTTTAAATGTAATTCATCAAACCAATGTACACTCTGGCTGTTGGAACTCAACTGAGTTTAGAATGGGGTAACACAACCACATCACAATCTCATTTCTAAACGACCCCAATGACTGTTAAATTAAGTATAATACACTCGACTTTTAGGAGCAATTAAACGTTCTATAAGAAGATATGGCACGCAGAGAAGACAAAATCGGTGTAGAAAAGTGGGACTAGAGAAGATCGTTCCAGTGTAAGACAAGCTTGATATATATAGTAAGAGATGTACAAACAGGAAGAGTGATGTTGTACTGTTTCAAAAACCTGAGATATTATGATGACCAAGTTGCCATTTCTCCCTAAATTGCCCGTAGTAATAGCTGATTACTTGGTCTTTCATCACCAAAATCCCACAATATACCTGCAAATGTGGAGTGTAATAATATACAAGTGCATACCCCTTGGATGTTTTGTCTGAAGACAACACTCTCGTGAAGACATGACTGAGATCATGTTCGTCATTCATGTAGCAAGTGGTACAGAGGTCAAAGGCGTAGCACTCGGTGCATCTCCATCGCATCCCCCTAATCTCATCAATGTCACATCCGTCACACCAGACCTTTGGATGACACACTAAAACAGAGGGGAAAACAATACCAATTTCAACAAAGACTAATGGAATTTTTGTTCAATTTGACCTTAATTTATAGACCACACATTATGTTTGTCTGCTCCCTTTATCAAGCATATGAAACGCCGGAACCAAGGTTTGGCTGAAATCTAAAATGGAATATTGTCAATTGCAGCAGTTGTATCCGGCATATTATCCATAGGACACTGTAGAATATTTCTTCATTCGATTGACTTTACATTAAGAGGACTACTTTAAAATAATTTGTGATGATTATGTCATTCGACATGGCATTTGGTTAAAATGTCTTTCTCGATCCAGGTGTGTCATAGTACCTGGTAAGGAAGATAAATTGATTGCTGGATGCTTGGGTGCTTTGATCACTGCGATGGCATTCAGGCGGAATTTTATTAGTATCTACCTGTGCCAGGAAAAATAATTTTGTAACGAGCATGAGTTTATGTATAAAACGCTATTTGTCATTGATGTAATTGGTGAGAGGTACGAACCATATCAAAACATCAATAGTTATCACGGTGTCGTTGTATAGTAATTTCTTGTAATAGTTAATTTAATTGACTGTTAGGGTTCGACTTTGAATCTTAGCCTGTCACTAACGTTCTTTGGTAAGACAATAGGGCGCTTTAGTAACGAGACGGTACGCACAGGAGACGGAGTGTTTAACCAACTGTGACGGGTCTCGCACTCTTGTTACCGTCGTGATGTTTAAGCGCTTTCGCTGTCTGCTAAAGGCGACGGGGACGCAAAGCCGCGCTGAACTGCACACCTGCTGCATTTTGGTGCTAGTGCTCTTGGGCCTCGAGGCTTGGCCGGAGCGCCGGGGCAATAGACCCGGCGGTGGGCTGTAGTGCGCAGCGTGCAGGCACGTCATGCATAACGATGAAAAAGGGCCCCCACAGTAGGCCTAAACGGCCAAACCATGAATTTATTGTAGATTGAGGTATAGATACCGAACAGACATTGGAAACACTAGTAGATTCCCTGTTTTTATCTTCAGTAGGGCCCTGCATTGTTAGATCTAGATACAATTATTTGTCAGCTCTCTCTCTTACGTCGTGTTTAGGGAACGAACGCTATGTTGGCCGAGTACCGTTCCGAAAATCGACGGGACGGAGATAATTCAGAATCGCGCATGCGCAGTTTTTTTTTTTCGCTCGCATTACCGTCTCCTGTGCGTACCGTCTCGTTACTAAAGCGCCCTAATAATCCATATTTGACACTCTCCACCCAGGTGTAAATGGGTACCTTGCAATTGCTGGGTTATTACTAATTGCAGGGCCCTCAAGGAGAACAGCATTGAAACGGATGAGGCTTCCCTGGGTTAACAAAAGTATTAGTAACCATATTGGGAACTACCTGCATTAGCTGTATCAATGATCCTGAGATCGTAACCCTGGTCATGTCCAGCCCGGTAGAGACCTTTATCTCCATTGTCCCACTGAACGAGTACCGAGAGTTTTGGAAAATGTGGTTGGCGTTCATCATGTAGTCTTAGAACCGTTCCTGCGTATCCCTTTCCGCCATCTTGGTTCTTATAAGTCCAATCAGGTCCTCGGATGACACGGAAACCTGGTTTTACAGGGGTTTCCATTTGTGTTAACGTTCAACAGCTAAATAGAGGGCAGAAATGGGAAACATATAAGATAGATATATAGGAAGAATGTTAAAAGAAATAGAAACATGTACTGTATAGATTAAGAGAGGGTGAGATAAAGAGAGGGTAGAAGTCTATGTCATGTTCGGAGAGGTTTGTAGTTATCAACGTTTGCAGATTAATCCACTCTTTTTAGTTTCATGCCATTTGAAGCAAGGATTAATCAAGGTTTATAATCATATTCGTTTATTATTCATCCTGTTAAAATATATCGTTTTTAACGAGATAAAGGGAGACCTCCATAATTTTCACAAATAATCCATCGATATAGAGCAAGTATTGGCTAAGATCGATTAATGATGACTTCTTAAAATACTTGACATATTGTTTACTTGTTCACTTATCTACTCCTTATACCATTGTATACGTTCTATGCCGTTTACCCCGACGTTCGCCAAGGCAGTGTGAAGGCAGTTCTCTTGTTATTGTACTCAGTTATACGCCCACTATTCACTAACAATCCGCGATTAAGGTTCCTCACCGTGTACAATTATTGAACTTCTTTAACCTTTGTTCACCATTCTGTTGTACCCTGTACTAGTGAGGCTTCTTACCATAGAAACGTCATTTTCACATTCCTTTGTATATTCCTCTAACTCCTAATCCAAAATTTGTTTATCCATAAATAACATTCTAGTTCTGGAGAAGATCAAATATACATTATGACTGAAAATGTATAAAACTCAAAATGATCACATCATTTCTTACTGGCTCTATAAATGCGTATAGATTGAATTTGGAATCCATCAAAACGTTGTTCTTATCGGCTAATAAATAAACGGAAATTCATGTAGAACTTCCTCCTTTTCTTTTTCTTTTAATTTCATTTAAAAAAAAATTGTTTTAAAAGTAACCAATAGTTGAAATTGGAAAAACCTATCCGCATTTTCTTTTTAAAAGTTACATCTTATTTTACATTTCAATGAAAATTGAACTTAGGCACTCATTCACTCATCCGATTAAGATCTATTCATACAATTAACATGCAAGTTAGTTTCTTTCGTGCTTCTTTGAAATACAGGAAATAATACACACACACACTTATCCAGTCATACACCCCAGGCGCATATAACCATTCTCTCCCTCTCCCTCTTCCATGTTTCTATTAACAACAAAAAAAAAAGCAAATTATACACACACTTGTCTATACACCCACACCCATGCGCATATAAAATTCTCCCCTCTCTCTCTCTCTTTCATGTTTCTTTAAATCCATCACACAATCCATCACACACATCACATAAAATAAGGATGAATTACATGTTCTTTGCTTCCTTCTCCTCTCTGTCCAATTTTGCGTCACTGGCTTCATACAATGACTTCTTTCAATACGTATGTTGTTGATTAGTAATGGCGGCTTCAAAACCTGGCACATACAAGTACAGCCAATTCTCAATAGCTGTCTGCAGCGTATTGAATTTGTAGAGTGTTCACGGGGATTCCCCAGTATTGCGCAATACCAACTGGCAAGAAATTCCGACCGTACACTGCTTACGCGTCCGTGTGTTATTTATCATACATTATAAAATGGGTTCAATCAAGGATGTAGCCAATGAGAAGCGTGAAAATGGATCACGTGATCGTGCATTATTTTTTACTATCTGCATGGTACCATCTGCATGGGGTTCATTTTGGTGATAACAACCGCGGATAAAGGTTGCGGGAGACATCTTATGGCATTGCTAAGTAAGATTGTCGACCCATTTTATAAAACAAATAATACACAAGTAAATATATATTTTTAAAAGTTTCTCTAAAGTTAATCAAACTATAAACATACACACACAAATACTTATCCAACACACCCCCCCTCCTCCTATCTCATTCTCTTATAAATATGTTCATAAGGAAATATATCTGGATCAAAGACAAGTTTAATCATATAGAACAATAAGGATGAAATACATGTTCTTTGCTTCCTCCTCCTCTCTGTCCATTTTTTTTTCACTGGCTTCATAAAATGACTTCTTCCAATAAGTCTGTTGTTGATCAGTAACGGCGGCTTCAAAACCTGGCACATACAAGTACAGCCAATTCTCAATAGCTGTCTGGAACGTGTTGAGTGCGTTAAGTGTTCACGGAAATTCCCCAGTCTTTCGCACTAACAACTATGAAGAAATTGCCACCACGCAATGCTTACGCTTCCGTGTAAACTGATATCTATCATACAATGGCTTTTTTTTGTTCTTACGCACCATAAGCACACTATGTATTCAGAATACACTGGTCTGACAAGCTTCAACGAATACTTATAATGTGGGATCCTGTGATAATTGTCATATTTTTTGTTATACACAAGTCATGTACATAAAGTTTGTATACCATACTAATAGTAAACTGACATGAAAGTTATGTTAACAAAATTACTTATCAATTCAAATCAGTTCAAAATGTTTTTTTTATTAAAAACAAACGTGCGTCTCAACATAATTTTAAATTGTTTATAGTTTACAATCATTACAAAAAATAAAAGTCAACACAATTTTACCAAATGTAGTTTTTACCTTCTCGGCTAATATTTTCCCTCCGTGAAAAGGAAACGTTTTGTTATTGAATAAAAAGTCTTTCCAATTAAAGCTTCATGCGTGATACATGTATAACTTGGTACGTCACATCTAAAATGGCTGCGTCCATGTCGTGTTAAAAGACATAACATGATGCCAAGCAATCCACCGCCACACACACCGTCCCTTGTTGAACTAAGTGCATGACCGTGAGCTATTTAGTTTTGCCCCTCCTATTTTGTAAAGTAGCAAACATAACTTTAAAAGAAGCACATTTGGATACGAATGTTGAGCCATTAGGGCTCATCAGCATATCTTAGATAATTGTTGTTATAAACTCTTATTTAACATTAAGTACAGAGGACAATTCTCATCTAATTAGAAAGGAAAGAAAAATACAAAGCACATTATTGAAGTAATGAACTGTAACTGCATAACGAACAAAACAAAACAAAGAAAAAGTTACACAAACTTTCATAGTAATTTCTGACAATATCTAATACAAAAGAAAGACAAAAAGAGCGTACTCTTTCATTTTCATAATGAAATGAAAAGGCATTTTTCTGTGGAAAATGAAACACTCCAGAACTGCAATGACTTGCCTACATATCAGGGTATTTTAGTTATTTCATAAAAAATTCTTGTACATTGATTAAAGAGATACGTTCCTCCACATTTGAATTCGATCTGAATATAATAATAATAATAATAATATCGAATATTTAGGAGCGCTAAAAACAATAAGTACCATAGCGCTTACAAATACAAATATATGTAAAGAGGACAAGAAAGTACAATACAGGAAGTATATCACATAGATCATTGGTGGAAAAGGTGAGTTTTGAGGGATCTTTTGAAGGTGGCAAGACAGGTAATTTTCCTTATGGAAAGAGGGATGCTGTTCCATGTCTTTGATGCAGCTACTGCAAAGCGTTTTTCAGCTACTGAGAGTCTAGATTTGGGAATGTTAAGTTTACATGTGTCGGTTGCTGAACGAAGATTACGAGTTGGTGTATATATTTGGAGGGTGTCATTAAGATATTCAGGTGCCAGATGATTGAGTATTTTAAAAGCATACAAACAGAATTTAAACAGAACACGTTGGTGAAGAGGTAACCAGTGGAGCTCCTTAAGTAAAGGTGAAGTATGAGTTCTTGACCCAAGGCCAAAAATTAATCTAGCGGCACGATTCTGGACAGTTTCAAGTTTCCTTCTATCTTTAGCAGATAAAACAGTATAAAGACTATTGCAGTAATCCAATCTAGAAATAATAAGAGCTCGGACAGCATGGTGACATGTCTTTAAATCAATAAATCTGCGAATCCTCCATAAATTGCGGAGATGAAAATTACTATTACGGACTACTTGGTTTACATGAGAGGTCAATTTGAACATATTATCGATGCATACACCAAGATCTGTAATTTTAGGAGAGAGAGGAATGAATTGATTATTTACTTTAAGCTGTACATCTGATATATATTGAAGATGGTGAGCGGAAGAACAGAAGGCCATGAATTCAGTTTTGTTATTATTAAGTTGGAGATAGTTCGACGACATCCAAGTGCTGATCTCTGCAATGCACAGTGAGATTTGGTGGAGTGTTTCGTTAATGTTTTCCAAAGAGCGTGGGTCAAAAGAAGTAAATAACTGAATATCATCAGCGTAGCAAATATACTGTAAACCATATTTATTAATAATATCAGATATTGGGGTGATATATAAACTAAAAAGGATCGGTCCGAGAACTGACCCTTGAGGAACTCCAAAATCAGATACCCATGGGTCAGATAATTCCCCAGCTATATTTACCCTGGATGACCATCCAGTTAGGTATGACTTCATCCAACTAAGAACTACACCGGATATATGAAAACGAGACTCTAAACGATTAAGTAATATCACATGATCGACCGTATCAAAAGCTGCACTAAGGTCTAATAAGACTAAGAAAACTGACCTTCGTTGATCAAAAAATGTTAAAACGTCATTCTGTAGCTTCAAAAGAGCTGTTTCAGTGCTGAAATTGGACCTGTAAGCTGATTGCATTGGATCATATAAGCTGTTATCGTTTAAGTGGTCTGTGAGTTGAATAGCTACTACCTTTTCTATCAGTTTGGCAACATGTGAAAGATTACTAACAGGCCTGTAGTTACGTAAAGTATCCTTATCTAAGTTGAGTTTCTTGATGATAGGTACAACTACAGCCTCGTGAGCAGCTTCTGGGAAAATACCAGATGCTAAAGAACTGTTTACAATACAAGTTAAGGCAGGAACATTACAATTGATAAGTTTCTTCAAAAGCCAAGTAGGTTGAGCATCTAACATAGAAGTAGCATTAGACATATGGATTATAATGCGTTTGATATTATCTTAATATAATGCATCCTGCTTGTTTATCTACTACTCACACTGAATGAATGTACTAGGTTTCACACTCATAACACCAGCTTATACTTAAGCAACAACATGATAAACTGTTGTTCAAGGTACTATGTCCCATTTGCAAGCCAAACAAAAGAAAAGGTTAAATTCCAACGGCATTTGAAAGATAATACTAATTTAGAACTTCCCTAAAAAACGGGGGGCTTGAAAATGTCTTTACGTGGGAAAATAACGACTATTAGTTGTCAAATCGACTTAAGAGTTAAAGAGCCAGTAAGTAATAGTCTTATTTTCAGACCATTGTACCGAATGATCGTACGTTTTATGCTGCGCAAAGATTCAGTCAGTTTAAATTTGGCCATTACAAGAAGTGGGTTATTGATGTAGACAAATGCTCATGTACCCTTTACAGCTCATTTTATGTATAAAGAAGAAAAAAAATGCCAGTCAGTTACTCAATAGTGTCTGCCAGTGAAGTCTAGCAAGTAAACGGGTTTGCTTGCATAATTTGAATATTAGGACACTGCGAACGTTTAATTTTCACAGATAGGACATACATGACATATTTATAATTTCTGCAAAGTTCTACAGAATTTGATGTTGGCTGCAAAAGGGACATTGTATCTTTAACATACGGAGTAACCTGTCCTAGTTATAATAAACATTTTTCTTTTTATTTGTTAATGAGGTTTGGAAACATGGTGTTACAAAAAGTGGTTTATTTAAGCAGGTCTTGCCCTTTGCGTTTAGAGAAGAGATTCAAAATCAAACGTGCTATTTATTGTACAAATGGCATGAAATCTACTCAGTGATCAGGGATAAATAGATTCGTAATATATTTTATAATAATTATGATCATTATCACAGTTGAAAAGACAAATAAATCGTCGATGAATTCTCATACAACGTCAGGCCAATAGGACATTTTCACAATGTTATCAAAATTATATACGTTTACCTATTATTATAATTGACTGTATAGCAATTGGCAGGATGCCTATTGCAAACGTCAGTTGGTGCTAGGTCAGACAAACTTTGTGACAAGCCCTAACAACATGTACTATGCAATTTACATGGTGAATTTTGAAATATAATTACATGTACTCGAAACGAATAATAACAATTAACTCAACAAAGACATATGTTTTAAAATATGATTACGTCAAGGAGATCCCATGTCAGCTCTTATCTTTCTATTATGCGCCGAAATACTAGGTCTCTTGTTTAGAAATTCCGATTCCATTGTTGGTTTGAGCTTACCTGGTAGACAACTTAAAATAATTCAATATGCAGATGATACTCTTCTAACATTGAACGGGTCAGTAATGGAATTAAACAGTGCATTAAACATTTTAGATAAATATAATGCAATGTCTGGTTTAAAAGTTAATATACAGAAGACACATGCGATTTGGATTGGAGGATTTAAAAACAAGAAAGATGGTGTTCTTTTGAATAGAAATCTAAATTGGGTGTTTGATGATTATTTCAGATATTTAGGTATAGACTTTTGTACGGATTTGCCCAAATTGATAATTCACAATTATAATGAAAAATTTAAAGAAATAAAAAGTCAAATGACATCGTGGTTGAGACGATACTTAACTGTTCTTGGAAGAATCACTGTCGTCAAGTCATTGTTGGTATCCAAATTAAACTACCTTTTTTTGTCCCTCCCTAATCCTGGTGAAAATCTTTTGAAAGATATAAATGCTCACTTTTATAGATTTATATGGGGGGAGAAACCTGATAAAATAAGTAGAAATCAGATGTCACAAAGTTACTCAGACGGAGGGGTTAAAATGATAGATATATACACACATTGCCAATCATTAAAAATTTCCTAGATTAAGAGATTAGTAATTGGCTCAATAGATAGCAATATCCTCTGTCTTTTGCAATCTTTCTTGCCTGAACGGCAAGATTTAAAATTATATATGGGAAACAATTATTTTCGGGAACTGGCAGGTAAAACAAAGAACCTTTTTTGGAAAGAAATGTTCATGGCTTATAGTACGCTCTTGTCCATGCATCATGATAAAATTTCTTGCCAACCCTTATGGAATAATGATTACATTAAAATAGGCAATAGCTCAATATATAATAAAAAATTGTGTCAAAAGGGAGTTCGTTTTGTTAACGATATTTTAGACACAAATGGTGATTTTTTCTCTCTGGAACACTTTCAAGAAAAGTATAATATTCAAATAAATTTTCTTTTTTATCGTGGATTATGCGATGCAATAAGACAAGGGTTTAACAATTGTACTATTTTTAACAAGGTGCCACAACCTCTTTTCCCAGATACAATGGCATTTGTTATGAAACGTATTAAAGGATGTTCACATATCTATGCAATATTATTAAAGAGAAGAAAAGTACTATGTAAAAGTTTTCTTAAATGGAAATGCATTTTTGACCTGAATGATAAGAGTTGGGAAACATATTGTTCTATTGGATTTAATTGTACCATTGATGTGGGCTTACGATGGTTTCAGTTTAAAGTCTTGCAACGCATATTATATACGAACGATCTACTGTTTAAAATGAATTTAGTCCCAAGAAAAGAATGTACATTTTGTAATGAACAGATTGAAACAGTTGTACATTTGCTATGTGATTGTACATATGTTAAAAATATTTGGGGTAGGTTAGAACACTGGATTAATACTGGTACCGGAAATAAATTAACATTTTCATTACAAGATAACTTATTTGGTTTAAAAGGTTCAAATAATTATGCATTGAATTGTATACTGATTGTGGTGCGACAGATGGTGTATACTTGCAAAATAAAGAAACAATTGCCCGACTTTGATAGTATTAGAGTTTCGATTATAAATTACTTCAAAAACGAAAAATATATTGCAAATTCGAATTGTAGAAATAATAAATTCACAAGAAAATGGTTTCAATTCAGGAATTTGTTTCCTTAAAATGATATTTTTTCTGTATTTGTTTTTCTTTCCATGAGTGTTAGAAATGAATTATTGATTTGTTAGTTTTCTCTTAACTCAACAGCTCAACAATACTTGTATCTTGAAAAGCCAATTTTATTTTATTCATGTTATTATGTAAATTACCTTGAATATATATTTTTGTTTGTGTTTCAAATGAAAATCAATAAAATCCCTGTTGAGGGAAAAATATGGAAAAAAAAATGATTACTAGTGCATTACGGAAATGGCATTAAAGTCAATCTTTTTTTGAGGACATGCGAATCATGTAGTTTCAATGAACTCTTTGTCATGTTACCCCAGCAATGATTTGAATTAATATTGATCACTAAAGTTGCGCCGCCATGGGTAAACAAATGTGGTATTGAAATCTCAGCCTTCAAAATATTTAGTGGTAATACCTCTACACGTGCGATGAGAACCAAGAGGCGTTAACCCTTATAATTGCAATGCCCTCGATAATTATGAACAGGAGTGGAAATCCACTTTGGGAGAGTGATATTAGGGATCATTCTTCGTTTTGGAAAGGAAAACTACATTGAAAATAAAACACGGCGATCCACTATTAAACAGAAGAACTATTAAATTACTATATTTGAATGTATATTCAGTTCTAAAGGTGGCAATCCTTTATATTTATCCTAAAAAGGTTTCCACTCCTCTGTATTAAGAGGGTAAAGTCCCTACTGCAAGTCAACGACTGAAGAAATTGGCTCGCTGCAATATGGGCATTCAGGGACGAGCTCAGCAATGCTTCGGATGACATTATGGCCACAAGTGAAGGAGATTTTCTTCTTGATCAGGTGTTCCAGTGTCTTGACCCTTGACCGAAGGGTTTCTAGCTCTTCATCTTTGCGCTGGAGCTCAGCTTGGAGGTGATGCAAATCGCCTATAAGGATATAAGATACAGAGAATAAAGAAAAATATTTCTGTCGCTTGATTCCTTGTCCATTCTAAGCTTACTTGAACGCAATTCCATCACAATTTGAAATATACCATTTTCAAGTTTGATTTTCCCTCCACAGAAATTTTCCTGATTCAGAAAGGTATATGAAAAATAAGAACAATATTAGAAAATAAGATATTTACACTATCAAAAAAACATAGTTAAATCAAAGACTTAGCAAATAAATAGTAACAGTATATTATATCCAAATATAAACCGACATGACGGATCTATGCTTTAGAGCTTTCAGCACTGTTTTTTTTCTCCAGATCGATGGTATCACAATCTGATTCCTTAGTTTTCCACATAAACTTTAGGAGACCGATGTGGGTAATGATTTCTGATTAACTTAGTCCTCGTCATCGTTCTACTATAAGAAGAGAATATAAATATCGATTAATATCCTTATCTATAGCAGTGTGTTTCGATTCTGTGCTCTTTCTTGTTTAAGACACGGACACACCCCTTTTGGAAAGTTACATATCATTCTTGATTTCTCTATCCAAGGAACAGTTTTATTAGCTTTTGAGGTTCGTTTTTGAGCTCCTTTTGTATTTGTTTAAGTTTAGGTCAATTTTCGTGATATTTCAACATCATGCCTGTCGCCAGAAAGGGAAAGAAAAAAGCCGCTGTAAAAATGAAGGAAGTTGTCGACAATCCTTTTCAATCGCTTGCCGAAGCTTCTGGGCATGTTGATATCAGCGATTGCGAAGACTCCGAAGAAAGCTCTGCTGCTCAGTCAACCCCATCAAAGCTTTCAAATTCAAATTCACCCAGCTGCATGAAGCGTGAAATAATGGATCAGGTAATACATGCGTTGCGATCCCCTCTGGTTGTCAAGGAGATCGTTGACGCCATTTACAACACAGTCTACGAGAAGATCGCAAGTGAACTTCACGAATCCTTCCAACTAGAAATGAAAAAGAGCGAGGATAAAATATCTAGTTTGGTGGATTCTTCAGATTCTCTAAAAAAAAAGGATCGCGGGTTTGGAGTCTCTGCTGGACGAACAAGAGCAGTACTCACGAACGCAATGTTTGCGGATCTACGGTGTCACAGAGAGAGTAAACGAGAATACCGATAACCTTGTTCTGGAAGTAGCCAGGAAGATGAATGTCACATTAGAACCACGTGATATCAATAGAAGTCATCGAATTCCTACTAAACATATCGCTACTCCGGAGTCGGCTTCAACGTCCAGTTCGACTCCTACAGCTAAACATCGTCCGAAACCACTAATCGTCAAGTTCTCAAGATACAATGCACGTCAGTTAATGTATGCCGCAAAGTCAAAATAGAAAAATACCGGTATCGTCATCAGGGAAGACCTAACATCCATTCGGCAGGATCTTTTCTGCAGGGCCATGAAACATCCGAACACGAAATTCACGTGGTCCAATGACGGCAAGATCTTCTCACTCACCAAGAATAGTCTGAAAGTACTGATTAGGAACACCTCTGACATTGATCGTCTCGGTTAGTTTTTTATTTACTTATTATAAATCCTTTTCATAAGCTCCATACTGTTATGAACATGCAAGATACGTCTCATAATTTATCTTCCACCTTTAACAACCCGGATTCTGTAAATGTCATCAATAAACTTAACGACAGAGAAAGTTTATTTTCTAATGAAGGAGATGAGGATTCAGATTCTATATTTGTCAAAAATACTAATCGTAAATATTTTAATGAAGAACAATTTATCATTAGTACTTGCAATGCATCGGCAAATCAATTTAGCCTCATTCATTTCAATGCTAGAAGTCTGTATAAGAATTTTGACAGCATTTGTGCATATTTATTGTCTTTAAATTACCCGTTTTCAATCGTTGGTATAACGGAAACCTGGATGTAAAATAGACCCAACATTTTTTACTCTCTGGTTATACATTTATTCAGTCAGCACGTTTGTCCGGGAGAGGAGGGGGAGTTGCATTCTTTATCGATGACCAATTCACTTTTCGTTTTTTAGACAAAATTAATTTCAATATCGTAGGAGTAGAATCACTTTTTATTGAAATTGAAAGTAAAAGCTGTAAGAATATGATTATAGGAGTTATTTATCGCAAACCCTCAAGCAGTGCTATCGATTTCATAAACAGATTTGAAAATATAGTGCACTCGATTTCTTTGAACCATAAAACATGTTATATTATGGGTGATTTTAATTTGAACTTACTGGATTTTACTAAGGTCTCAGGTATCGGCAACTTTTTGAACATGTTTTTTTCTTTTGGATTTTATCCTTTGATCAATAAACCCACTCATTTGTCTATAGATTCAGCTACTCTACTTGACATTATATTTACAAATTCAACCTATGATAGTATTGTTTCGGGTATTTGTGTTTCTGACATTAGTGATCATTTTCCTATATTTAGTATTTCATCTATAATTGGTTCACGCAGTACAAGTGAAGTCGATACGAAGTGTTTTGCACGTAATATTACCCCAACTTCAGTTGCCTCTTTAACCAATGATTTGAGAATTACTGATTGGAACATGGTACTTCAATCAAGTGATGTAAATACGGCATATGATATATTTCTTGATAGTTTTACAACGTTATGTGATAAGCATATACCTTATCAAAAGAAGAAAAGCTACCGTAGAAATGAGATTAAAAAACCCTGGATAACTCTTGCTATTTTGAAGTTTATTAAGAAAACTAACATGTTGTATGGTAAATATAAATTGGACCCTTCCTTTTGAAAATAAATTCAAATATAGACAATATCGTAATAAAATAAATACCTTAAAACGATGTGCTAAAAGAAAATATTATTTTGATAAATTCACTGCTGTGAAGTCTAATTTGCGTTAAACATGGAACGTTGTGAATACTATTTTGGGTAAAAAAAAAATCGTACAACGCGTCAAACGCTGCAATACAAAGGAAAAACTGTAAATGAACCAAAAGAAATTGCAAATATTTTCAATAATCATTTTGTCAACATTGGAGAAAACCTTATTAAGTCCATTCCTGACTCTAATCATTCATTCTCTGACTATTTACAAGGTAACTTTGTTCACAGTTTATTTTTCAAACCAGTAACTATCACTGAAATTTTAATTATTGTTAAAAAATTGCCTAGTGCGAACAGTTCCGGATATGATAACATAAGTACACGTCTTTTAAAATCTGTCATCAATTTTTTACTCGTACCTTTAACACATATTTGTAATCTGTCGCTTAAAAATGGTGATTTTCCTTCAAACATGAAAATCGCCAAAGTAATTCCCTTGTTCAAGAAGGGAGATACAGATAATGTTGATAATTACCGTCCTATTTCCATTCTGCCTTCTTTTTCTAAAATACTTGAAAGATTAGTTTTTAATAGACTATCAAGTTTTTTGGTTCGCTTCAACATTCTGTCTAATGAGCAATATGGCTTTCGAAAAAATTCTTCCACAGGTCTTGCTTTTCTTGATTTATATGATAAAATAGTCCATTATGTTGATGTAAATAATCATGCAATATGTGTTTTTATGGATCTTTCGAAAGCGTTCGATTCTATACCCCATGATATATTATTAGTTAAATTACATTTTCACGGCGTAAGAGGTTTACCTCACAAATGGTTTCAAAGTTATCTTGCCGAAAGGAAGCAATTTACATCTGTAAATTCTCATTGTTCTTTTTTTAATCTAATATCATATGGCGTCCCTCAGGACTTTATTTTGGGGCCTCTCTTATTTTTGATTTACATCAATGATATTGTAAACTGTTCCACTTTCTGTAAATTCACACTTTTTGCAGACGATACGACTATTCTTGCCTCAGAAAAAATTGATCTATTAACCCATAAACTGAATATTAATTTGGAGTATGTTTACGAATGGCTAGTTTGCAATAAGCTGTCTTTGAATGTTTCTAAGACTAAATTTGTTATTTTCAAAAATGCTAGGAACCTAAATCCTGTATATGACAATGTATCTATTTCTATCAACAATAGATTAATTGAACAGTGTAGAGTTTTTAATTACCTTGAAGTACTTTTCGATGAAAACCTATCTTGGACTTCTCATATTAATTATATTACAAAAAAGGTTTCTCAGAGCGTCGGTATTATTAGTCACTTAAGATTTGTTATTCCACTTCGTATCTTATTCATGTTATATAATGCATTTATTTTGCCATATATTATGTATTGCAATTCTGTTTGGGCGACGAAACATCCCTCTAAGTTACTCAAATTACATAGACCTCAAAAAAGGGCATTACGACTCTGCTCTAATTCCCCTTTCTTAGCTCCCTCACAACCTTTATTTAGAAAATTCAATACTTTACATATTTATGATATTAATAAATTGCAAATTGCCTCCTTGATGCAACGATTTTTCTCAAACTCACTACCTCCAAACCTCATGCACCTATTTAGCCTTAACAATGTGGTCCATACCCACTACACAAGAAATGCTGATAAATTCCATCATTGGAATGCTTCATCCAATATACTAACCGATTCTCTACGTTATGTTGGTCCAAAAATGTGGAATTCCCTACCTCCATTTTTACAATCTGTTGGATTAAATAATTCTTTCAAAAGACTTTACAAGAAACATCTTCTCTCTCTTTATGACGCATAATTTATTTTAAGACCACACCTATATTACTAATACTCCTTTTTATTTTCCCTTTTTTTTTCTCTCTTCAAGTATATGTTATTATTAATTCTGCGCCAGGTGCTTTCAATTGTCAAGCCTTACTGGCTTTTACGGATGCACCATTTTCCATTTATATTTTGAATGCTGTTATGTTAATTTTATATGTAATTTTGATATTGTTACATGTTATGAAATTCCATATTTTATCTTTGTATATATTGCCATGATGATGGAAATAAATTTCAATTCAATTCAATTAAATCATTGGATTCCTTACCTGAAGATTTCTGCTGTATTCCTGATCCCGCTGCAAACTTCTCCGAGGAGTCTCCAGAGCTCTGTTTCTTTGAATCTTGTCTACCAGTGCTTTTCTGTAAGAGAGAGGAGACAGAGTTGGCCTCAGCTCCAGTGTCATTGGTTTTCACCGTCAGGGTACGCAGGGGGCGATTGGCTGTGCTCTGCTGTCTGGCGATGTCTTTCCTGTAAGAGTTTTAGAGATTGCAAACAAATTTAAAACATTACGTTCATATCTACAGGTGAAAGAAAACAGAAACCAATATCTTCTGAATTTAAAACCACTACACATTACCACAAAATGGCAAATTTAAGAAAGTCTTGTTAACATGTGGTTTTTCGGAGATGTTAGTTTGATTTAACTGAATGAATAGTCAAAGTAACTTTTAGCTGACATTTTGAAATTGTAGGAACTTTTTTTAGCTTACGGCAAGTTCACTCTAAGAATGACGTCACAATGAGGCTGATTCAAACGATTTAATCTCTATCATAAGTGTAATTTATGGCGGATAAATAAAATCAATAATCAACAAAGTTTTAGATATTAACGAGTTTGGGCTATTACAGAGTGAATTTTTATATTGACTTATACATCATGTCCATGTAATATATTAAAATGCACGTTTTATGCAAATATTATATTGTGTGTCTTGTATACAAAATATTGTCATACCCTCTCTGACTTTGGATTTCAAGTAGAGGTTGCAGGATTGGTTGATGCTGAAGCAGTGTCTTTATTGTCACCCTTTCACTGTTGAATGCATTCAGGTCACCACCGTGAGAGACAAGGAAGGCAAGGAGAGCATCTGAGTTCGTCTTAATGCCAAGGTGTCCCCATTTCATCTTCATCTGTAAACAAAAAAGGGGTCGTTAGAGCACCACGTGTTGCCATACTGTCATTTAATTTTCATTGATGGTTTATTCAAAAGAATCAAGATTCGTTTCCAAATCAAAGAATTAGAATTTTTTCTTTATATGGGATTTCAAAATGCAAAATATAGCCTCTTTTTTTCTCATAACATACCGTATTTCAAGGCCTTTGCCTGAATGTTAAATTTTTAGTCAAATCCTTAAGAGTTAACGATTTAAAGCCTTTGAGATTTCTTTGTGATATGTATATGAAATAGCCTGCCAATTTGCACAATTTTGGGTGATAAACGTGGGTTTTTAGAGGTACGTGTAATGTATTCTCAATTCGTTTCATCCCTCAGTAATGTATTATCGGTTTGTTTCATACTCGGTAACATATTCTCAGTATGTTTCATACCTTGGTTATATTTTCTCACTTTTTTGTTATACCTCATAAATATTTCCTCAGTTTGTTTCTTACCTTAGTAAAACAAATTCAATTTGTTTCATGCCAATAATCCAAGTTTGTCTCATACTTGGGTAATATATTATCAGTTTTTTTTTATCCATCGGTAATCTCTACCCACTTTAATTCATACCTCGGCAATAAACTCTCAGTTTGCTTCGTACCTCATGGAGCGTCTCAACGTGACGGACATGTGCGCTATATAAGAAGCCATCATTATTATTATTATTATTAATATAAATGTACTTTCAGTTTGCTTTACACCTCGGTAATATATTCTCACTTTATGTCATACCTCAGCCATGTATGGCTCTTCTTTCATGTCTTGTCCTCGAGTAGCATGGACATCGACGGCAAATTGCAAGGACGTTTTTCCAACAATGTTTGGAAGGTTGATGTCTGCACCATGCTTTACCAAGACATCGACTAAATGGAAATTCTGAAAGAATATAGCTGCAGCAAGAGGACAGGTTCCACATTCGCTATCAACTGCATTCACATTACAGCGTCCCTGTCGGCAGAAATGTAAAGAAAAATCATGATTAAATGGACAAATGTTGCATTGCCTGAGTGCTGATGAAGTTCGATTTTGATCCAATTTAAACCTAGCTAGCGCACACTAAATCTGCAATCCGACTACGATCTGATTTTACAAGACTTTGCAAGAGCAGTCGATATTATATTTCGAACAAGTGAAATTGACGAGTCATGTAAACAATATCATTGATTTATGAATAAAAGCTTCATTGTCGGAGGAAAAATCCAAGTCGGCTCCGATTCACTAAATGACACCGGACTAGTCATTAGATTGTATATGATTTAAAGTCGATTCGACCTTTACAGAACTTTTAATTTAGTTTATTCATATGATTTTTAAGAACTTAAGTGAGAAAGATAATGTTTGTTTAAATTTCTATAGCTATTAAATTGAGATTCCTTGAAAATCTTATCTCAGGCGGGTCGAATAATGTGTAGCGGTACGCTTTAACCATCTGGCTTTTTACCTTTTTGATCAATAGTTCTGCAGCATCACGGCAGCCTTTGTAAGCAGCTGAATAGAGAGGAGTTCTGTCATTTCCCTCCATTGCTTCCCCTAGTCTAGGTATCTTGTCCAGGAGCTTACTCATAGCACTGTGACCAAGGCATGGAGAATAATCGAATAAGGGATAATGAATTTATACATCAACCCCTTGAAAAGGAATGGGAAAGGGGAGTTCCTCCCCCTGAATATTGACTGAATTAATACGACGTATATGGCACAAGCAAACCTTTTACTGTAACTTATATATTTTTTCCTCCATTGCACCCATTCTTATTCTTTAAAATAATTTTTCATTTGTGTCCTGTTTGCTTTAGAGACAATTTTATTGACACTTACATTTGTATAATTGCTACTAACGGTGCTGAAAAGTCCCGCTGTCTTTTAATGCACAAACAAACATAAATAAGTATATATATATATATATATATATATAAATATTCGTATTGGTGCTTTTCTTGTAATAAACCTAGATCTCTATGAAACTGTTCTTGTTCATGTAAGATAAATTTACATCAATTACAATTGATAGACTTTATACATTGTTTTCTTCAAATGACCTTCATGTATAACAGAGGTAACTATAAAGATAATAATTCTCTGAACCAAGATCTGCTAAAATGAATATGTTTGTTTCCCCGGATGAATTCTGAAGCTCATTTAATATGTCTTATTCGTTGGATCGTTTTGGAAAACTGAATAAATGAACTCCACGCACTATGTTTTATCAAACCGAGCAGCTTGATGCATGGCAGATACTAGATTTCTAGAAACGGCTTTCAGATCTGCTTCCTTTCTGTCCACGATGAGGTCCACTAAGGTTCTCCCTCCAATTATTGATTGGAGTGCAGGTGTCAAATTATTCTCGCCCTATTGCAAAGACATTCCAAGGCATATAGGAAGAACAATTATAATTTGAAATGTCTCATACTAAGTGATATAAACTGTTGCCTTTACACTTTAGTATTATATTTACCCCTTTTCATGAAATGATAGTGACAGTATTTTATATTCTTAATAGTTGCAATGTTTATTATCTAAGAACTCTTCTGTAAAAGAGGTTAGGAAATCCCTGTTATCTGATCGGTTAAGAGCCAGTCAACACAATTGAATCAATTTTACTGACTGCACAAATAACGCTCGAATAAATTGCGAAATCAGCAATTGATATTGATTTTGAAACAATAGCTTTTCAATATGGCAATTGCCAAACAGCTGCAATTTGTTACTGTTTTGAAAGTAAAAAATTATAAGAACAGACTAATAATAGAGATAGGTAGCCAATTTTGCAGGTAAGCTCTATAAAATATGGGTTGGAATTTAAAAATAACTCGCTACTATTTTTCTCGATGACACAAACAGTTTAAGAACAATGCAGATTTGTCACTGTTTAAATAAAATTGTAAGATAGTATTATGATAATAATTTCTAGCCGTCGTTATATAATTTTCTTTAATGGAGTATCAAATTATGAAGTAAAAGAAAATCTCCCACATACGTTACAACGATCCTGAATTTTGTTTAATTTACTTTTTATATGTCAATGATATTACTTGAATCATGGTATATTACCTTTTGGTTCAAGTCTGCACCGTGCATCAGCAGATAACGTGCACATTGAGAGAAACCTTGGGAACATGCCAAATGGAGACATGTGTAGCCTCGCCAGTTGACGGCATGCACATCAGCCCCTTGATCTAGAAGATATTCCACAATTTCGTATTTGTTGCTTCCGTTTGGAATGGGTATTTGAAGAAAACGGATGGGTTATCATTTATTTAACCCGGAACATTGGATTACAACTTGTACAGAAAAAACAAAAATCACTGGACAATTGGAGTCCATTTTTGTTGCAGTGCATTGTGCCATTCATGAATAAGAGCAGATATATTTACCCGAAAATAATTACTGAAGTCTCGAAACTGGCGACGCAGAATAAAGTTTATAACCATTTATTCTTCCTGTACATATTGACAATTACTTGTCGACTTGTTGGCTTGTTGTAATGTTCATTCAAGCATTTTTTTCCAGTTAATAAACATTGTTTGTTTATTCAACAGTATGAAAGGGTTTGAAATGCAAAAACTTGTTGGCAATTTGAGGTAGGAAAGCTGATGTAATTCGACCAATAGCAAACTCTGAACTGCACTATGTTGAGGTAAAGAGATTCATAAACTGACGATTAAAAAGTCTGGAAAATTATGAATACAAAAAATAATGGCGAAACGGTTGAAAAACTCGGCGGTTACATTCAAGAAATGGAGTGGATAAAAGATAATATATTAAGTAAGTTTCACAGGCATTCTGGACAAAAATTACTCTGCAATAGAATATGCTAGTGGGAACGGTGCGTGGGGGGGGGGGGGGGGCTACAGCCAAGTTGTCCGAAGGCCCGTGAAACCGAAAGCCTTATATCGTGTGCAATTATACGATATACAGTACAATTGCTTGCGTACATACATTTGGGTTTTAATTTTTTTAAAAAGTAATTCTTGGTGCTTATGACCCTTCACCTAATGATTAAAATATATTTGTGTTGGCATGTCAAGGTAAAAAGCGCAATTTGGGGGAATGATCCGGGCCTGTAAATTTTTAATATAATACAAATTCTTTATATAATAAACATAAATCGGGTATACACAAAAATGTTAACTTGTGATGTATCATCTGAAATCTGAAAAATGAAAGGCTCACTATTCATTTAATCAAGAGAATCGCATCATAATTAGTTATGGCATTTCATTGTTATGATAAGTTGACCATATTGATTGTCTGATGTAACAAACTTAAATCACCCAGAGCATTTTTGTACAGGTCATTTTGAACACAGATCAGCAAAGTTCATGACAACAGCACTTCTACACCTGCAATGATCCATACAAAAAATTGCCAAGATGAATCTGTGAGCAATAGATCTCTATAACAATATATTTATTGTCTTGTGAACGGTACATTATTAGTCATATGAATCATGTCAAATATACGCAGCCGCAATTTGTCCCAGATAGACAGCTTACGGCATATTATTTACACGCGCTGTCTCGTGGCACCTTTTTCATATTCGGTCTTGCGGGCCTTCAGTCAGGGTAGGGTAAACCCGCTAGTGCCTTTATGGAATGATAAAATTATATCAGTTCACTTGAACTAATATATATTAAATATTGAATATTGAATATGATCAAATATTCAAGGAAGTTAACCAAACAAAGAAGGTCCAAATGAACAATAAAAACATACTGACAAATAATTATTAAATAAACTTGAAGGTATATCATTGAAATAACAAAGGTACATGTGAGAATTTTGTTTACTACATCTTAACATAATTTGAACAACGCCAAAATAATTTTTCTTTTCGGTGGCGCATTTAACAAGAATTCTATTAAATGTCCATTCATTAATAGCATTAATGCTAAGGGAGAGATTAGAAAATGCTCTGTAAAGAAAATTAGATATGAGATAGCCTTTTGTTTTGAAGCTTTTTAAAAAGGGTGTGTGTATTAATAGGCTTGTAGACTCGGAGCAAAAAACATGCGGGATATGTTATTTCACTGATTACATGAATACATAAACTGTTCATGTTAATGATATTGTTACATCAATGTGGGTGATGGAGATTGACTTTTTTCGTTTGATTTTGCATGAGGCATTGAAAGATTCGGGTTTTAGCATTACATGTTGGCAACACAAATTATCATTAGCTTTATGAAAATACGTTCTGTATCTTTGAAAGACTTTAGAATATCTTACCGATGTGTTGCAAGGAACAGTGGCGTACAGCCGTTTATGTCAATGTACTCAATAAAGGCCCCTTTCTCAAGGAGAAACTTCACGTTGTAAACATTGCAGGTAGATGCAAAGTAACCCAACAGCGAAAGACCATACTCGGACTGGTAATGAATCTAGATGCAAATAGACAGAAAAAATATTTGATTGGAATCTTTTCCTCCACCTCCAAGGATAATATTAATACTTTATGAATTATTGAATGTGATAAGGAAAACGAGATCCAGCCCAAGACTCCCCATCCCCTCACTTGACCCCCAAGTGGCATACCTAATATGTACACAGCTAATCCCAAGTTGTGCCCCAGTTTTGAAATGATCTAACCTTTCTTCTTCCTTCTTTTATTTCGTTGCTTGTTACAGAATTTGAAAACAAAGATACAGCGCCAAAGTCTGATGACCATTTTTGTTGTTACCCCTTCCCCTTTACAGAATTCTAGATCCGACCCTAGATACTAACCCACTCTGGGTGAATAGCCAAGATACGCTCCATCTCTTTGATATCACCTGCTTCTGCAGCAGCCATGATGCTCCATTCGGGATCCTGCTTGACCCTAGAGATAACTAGAGGCAAAGGTAAAATTGTAATACAATGTTAAGAATATAAATAATAATGATGATACTAGTGACAGTAATAGAAATAATAATAATAACAATAATAAATAAATTATTAATGATCATGATGTTGATGATGATAATGATACATAATACAATTGATGATATAAGTACTACTACTACTACTACTACTACTGATAATAATAGTACAAATACTAGTAACTATAATTTTAGTACAAATAATGTTAATAATGATGATGATAATAATAATGATAATGGTAATAATTATTCAACAAAAGTAATAATGATATTTAAAGTACATTATATCTTTCACAATATTTACAGTAATAGAAATAACAATGATAACAATCATAAATATATTAATGATGATTATGATGTTCATGATAAAAAATACATAGAATAAAATTAATGATCTAAGTACTACTACTACTACTACTTCTACTTCTAAAGGCTACAAATAATAGTAATTACAATTATAGTACAAATAATGTAAATAATAATGAATTTGATTATGATAATTTATTGCCAGGTATCTATTGGTTATACCCGAGTCAAGAGGGACACTAAGGGCAAAACACTTTGATCAAGGATAAAAGCACCGAGTAAGTATTGAATCCAGAACCTCTCATTTCTTTAGTTCATGAATTAGTAGTTATGTGTAATTTTGTTGTATTAATATTGTAAAGCGCATTGCTATTTTCTTCGATTATGAAATGCGCTATATAAGTCTAGGTTATTATTATTATTATTATTAAAGTCAAGAGCCTTATTAAACCAATGTAAACACATTATACATGTACCTCATTAATTTTTCATAAACCCAAAACGAGGTAAAATTGAAGAGAAAACTGGGGTCTGACTTAGAGGGACGTGTAATAAATATGAAACGAAGGTTCTAATCACATGGCCAGCAGACGATTCCACAAGTCAGTTCCTACTACATAAAATTAAAGATGATAAAAATAAGTATTAAATAAAATCGTCTCTAATCATGCATTTTTGTCAAGCCTTATAACAAACTTTGGATATGCATTCGAACAGTATCGTTCTGCAGTGGTAAGAAGAATATTTTTTGAAAAGTTTCCCACCATTTCTCATTCAAAGATCTTTGAATTAAAATATTTATTTTCTACTGTATGAAGAAAATCCGATTGCTCCTAAACGCAATGATGATTCCTTCTAGAAAAATATTATCAAAATATAAATTGCAAGGAACTAATGCCTTTCAATTATACTCATTCCTTTATATAAAACTATTAATGTAGAGGTGTTGTGGTCAAGTGGATACGTCGCCGGAGTCCCGCCGCTGCACTAATGTCCTTTGGCAAGACATTGATCTACATTTGCCATACTCCACCCAGGTGAAGTAAATGGGTACCTGGTAGGAATTTATTCCTTGAAACGCACTGCTAAAGCCAGAGTAATTATGCTGCATTATTGTAGAGCGCTTAGAGACTTCTGACATAGTAAGTGTTAGGCGCTATATAAGCACTGTAATTATTAATATATTCATTCATTTATTTATTTATTTTCCTTTTTGGGGGGATTCATAATTGTAATCAACTAATAAAAATGGAGAGCCTTAATTTGACCAGCACACTTGTTTTGATTTTGATTTTACTTAAAGATAAACTTGAGTTCTGGTAAAAAAAGAAGAAAATGAATTCTCACAGAATCAAACGAAACCTACACTGAATGTTTAAGATTACAAATAAATGTAATTTGCCAAACAATTTTGGTACAAAATGTATACTGGCTGAGTGATGAACATAGACAGATAAGGAAATCAAGGTAAGTAGGCCCGACACCATTTGTGTAGTCCCTATAACATCTTTCTGTTGACAGTGCTTGTTACTTTACCAAGACTGGGCCAAATTTATTATGATTTTGATGACTCCAGAACTTTGCATGCTACATGATCAACTTTTTTTAAATCCATTCCACACCTTTTCTTTCACAATGCAATCGCATGACCAGAACTCAACTTCACCTTTAAAACTTACCACGCTTTATTTCTTCACTGCTCTTGTCTTCTGGTTCAGGAGCACGAATCCGTTCCGGAGCCAGATTTGCAGAATTGAAAATTAACTTTTGATTGTCCTTGGTTTCGACACGAATTTCAGATCCATCAATCTCTACCACCTTTCCAACTGTACCGATGGCCTAAAACAGGAATATAATTATCATGGTTATTGGGCTACATTATTTTTTTTTTCGCATTTTGAAAAGTAGATAGATTAAAACAAGTCAACGCAAAGTGTGGCATCCCATCGCTGGGTACAAATGGCCTATACTAGTATTTAGAAATGTTTGCGTATTTGATGAGCTGTGAACTTTGACCTTTGATGTACATACTCAACAACATTTCTTACGTTATTGAATAAAAAGAACCTTTTCCCATATACAATTAAGTATTTTCGCATATCAAATGAGCTATGACCTTTGAACTACATACTCCGAAGTCAATCTTAGGCTGTATTTAAATACCATGTACCTTCATATCAAATTTCATTAAAATCCGCCAATATTAGGCCTGTTATCGAACGGCAGCCACATTTTCGGATGCATAATAAGCTATTTTTGCATATCTAATGAGCTATGACTTGACTTTTAACCTACATACTCTGAAATAGAACTTAGGCTGTATTTTGATACCATGTACCTTCATATAGGTCGATACGTGCGCTATATAAGAATCCAATATTATTATTATTATTATTATATCAAATTTCATAAAAATCCGTCAAATATTACTGCAGTTATCGAACGGAAAACCAATTTGGGTATTTTTGCAATATTTCGAATATTTGATGAGCTATGACCTTTGACCTCCATACTCCGAAATCGAACTTAGGCTGTGTTTTGATACCATGTACCTTCCTTTCAGATTTTTGGAATATATGATTAGGTATTTTCTCATATTTAATGATCGATACCCATCGACCTTTGACTTACATACTCCGAAATCGAACTTAGGCTTTGATACCATGTACCTCCATATCAAATTTCATTAAAATCCATCAAATATTACTAAAATTATTGAACGACATCCAAATTTTAAATATTTAATAAGCTATGACCTTTGACCTACTCCAAAATCCGTCAAATAATACTATAGTTATTGAACAAAAACCATATTTGTTACGGACGGAAGGCAGTGTTACTAGCGAGCTTTCGATTTAGGCACCGGACATCGGCTACTACGAGGTACTGGATCGTGGAGACGTTTTGCAGCTCACGTCCGTTCCCTTCGCGGCAGAGCTTTCGATTTTTCACGAAGGTGTTTTCGTCGGTCACGTGACCAATTTTTGAGATCAGGTGGTTAAATGAGGTACGAATTCACAGTGCGCGAAAATCTGATGCGAAAATTACGAAGAAAATCAAAGTGCAATTTCAAAAGAAATGTATTCCTAGTCTTTTCCTCAAGAATCATACGTTCCGGAAAATTTTGCCAAACGGGCTCAAACTGTGTGCAAACGGAGCTGAACGTAGTAGCAACTGTTTGCGATCTGTTTGAGAACTTCATGGACGGGCTCAGACTGGCTATACGGGAGAGTGCTCTAGAACTTTGAGCCTGTTCAAAATTGTCCCCGTCCTGCAATTAGGCGGAGTGACAACATACTTAAAACGAGGAGGACGTACTACAAGCGGACTGATTGCCGTACTATAAACGGACAGGCGTACTTCGATCCTACTTGGAACGTGTCACAACGTGCTGTGGTCGAGCATCAAGTAGCAGCAACTAAGCGCCATCACACCAAACTAGTTCTCACTACGTTCCGGAACCGTCCTAGAAAATCGTAACAAACGGGTTATGGTCGGGGTAGAATGTGTAAATAATGTCTACAATACGATCCTAGATCACTACCTTCGCGCACAGTTTGAGCACGTCTTAAAACATGGTCCACTGAATTGTATATACACTTCAAAGCTTGTTGACGCTACTCAGATTAATGTTGATAAGTAACTTAAAAAGTAAAAATTCACTACAACTGATAATTAGAACAAATTACATATGGATGGAAAGATTTTCTCTTGAAAAACAAAAAATATTTGCTGAGAAATCATATAGATATCATGGAAAGGCGTAAAATGCAATTTTTCAAGACCCTTCTTAGACCCCCGAACGCCCCTGAACGTAAGCCAAACACACGAGCGTAGCGAGCTCTGAATAGTGACGTAACACACTGGACCAACAGCTCAGTACCGGAGTCGCGCGTGTATTAGTCTGCAGCTAGCCAGCCGTGTCCCGTGTGTGACGTCACAGATATTGACGCTCTACAAAGGACCGCTGAAGGCAGAAAATCTAGATCTCAAAACTAACATTCTTGAGAGTTGATTACTGCGGGCCCCAAACATATTTTGAAGAGGAGAGTTGTTGTATTTGATCAGTAAGCTTCCCCTTCGCAATGATATGAGTTTCGCATCAATTAAAAACACTTTTGATTTTTCGTGTGTCTACTTTAATTAAACAGATCGTAAACAGTTGCCTCTACGTTCACTACCTTCGCGCACAGTTTGAGCAACATTTTACAGAACGTAGTGAGAACTGGTTTGGTGTGATGGGGGCTTTACTTGAATGTCTTGAATTGAACAGCTTGAATCGTTGAAGTTGTACGGGAATAAGGAATGGCTAGAACACGCTGGGGTCGTGCTTTCACACAGGCGCGGATCCAGGGGGCAAGGCCCGCTGCCCCCCCCTGTATCCGCGCCTGTGTGAAAGCAAACAAAAAAAAGAGAGAGAGAGAGAGAGAGAGAAGGAAAAGAAGGGAAAGAGGAGAGAAAGGGAAATAAAGAAGAGAAAGAACAAAAGAAAAGGGGGAAAAGAAGGAGATCGGGGGGGGGGGGGGGAAAGGGCCTTGCCTCCCATCTGTTACCCCCCCCCCATCACAAAATAAGTGAGAATGGAGGAAAGGGAAAGAAAAAATGAAAAGAGGAAGTAAAGGGAAGGAAAAAAGTATAAGTAAGTAAAGAAAAGAAGGGGATATCAGTTGCAATTTTCCGCGAACAAGTTGTAATTTCGGGGGCCAAAAGGCCCTTGCCTCCCCCCCCCCAACAAAAAAGGGGGAGGAAGGGAAAGGGAAAGAGGAGAGCTAAAAGGGAACAAAAACAAATGGAAGAAAATAAAAAGAAAAGGGTGAAAAGAAGGGGAGAACAGTTGCGATTAATCCGTCCAAAAACGCGTGAATCAGGGGGGGGGGGGGCCGGGGGGGGGGGCAAAAAGCACTTGCCTCCCCCAGCAAACCTAAAACAGAGAGAAGAAAGGAAAAAGAAAGGGAAAGAGAGAAAGGGGGAAAGAGAGAAAGAAGGGGAGATTAGTTACGATTTCCCCACCAACAAGGTGTAGATCAGGGGGGCAGGCTCACTGGCGTACTCAATATGTAGGAGGGTGACAGATGCCCCCCAAAATATAATTCAAACGTGGTTTATTTCTAATTCGATACCGGTGGTTTACAAATGTTGCTGAAATGACATAATTTTCAGAGATTTTTCCTCAATGTTTAGTAAATTATACCTTTTATGTGTTTGTTGGAAAATGGCAAATTCATAAAGAAAGAATACTGACCTGCCTTTGTCACAAAAATAATAAGGTGTCAAAATTTGCCCATCTGACGGTAATTTAATGCCTAAAACCCATGATCTCGTGGGGGGCTCCGCCCCCTGGACCCTCCACCAATTAGTGACCTGCCAGTATCACAAATAAGGTATAATTATGTTCATCTGACCGTAATTAAATGCCTAAAACCCATGAGCTTCCGGGGCTTCGCCCCCTCGACCCCACCATATGCCATAAGGCGGCCCCTTCATGCTTATTTGACCGTTATAAAATGTCTAAAACCCCTGAGCTTCTAGGGGCTCCGCCTCGTGGACCCCACGCCAATGAGTGAACTGCCAGTATCACAAAAAATGGTATCATCATGCTCATCTGACCGTAATTAAATGCCTAAACCCCTGAGCCTCCGGGGCTCTGCCCCCTTAACCCAACCAATGGCCCTAAGGCGGGCCCCTGGATGCTCATCTGACGGTAATCTATTGCCTAAAACCCCTGAGCCTCAGGGTCCCCGCCCCCTGAACCCCACGCGAATTCGTGACCTGCCAGTGTCACAAAAAAAGGTATAAAAATATGCTCATCTGACCGTAATTTAATGTATAAAACCCCTGAGCTTCTGGGAGCTCCGCCCCTAGACCCCACACCAATTTGTGTCCTACCAGTGTCACAAATAAGGTATTAAAATATGCTCATATGACCGTAATTAAATGCCTATACCCCCTGAGCTTGTGGGGCTCCATCCCCTGGACCCCATGCCAATTCGTGACCTGCTAGTGTCACAAATAAGGTGTAAGAATATGCTCATCTGACCGTAATTATTGCCCCAAACCCCTGAGCTTCCGAGGGCTCCGCCCCCTGGACCCCACACCATTTTGTGTCCTGCCAGTGTCACAAATAAGGTATCAAAATATGCTCATCTGGCCGTAATTTATTGCCCATAACCCCTGAGCTTCCGGGGCTCCGTTCCCTGGACCCCACGCCGATTCGTTACCTGTCAGTGTGAGTGAGTGAGTGATGGTGATTATTTTACCTGACTGCTAATAAAGCAGACGGCCGACGGCTTTAGGTCCTCTCCGAGGGATCTGGTAATGAGGATTAATGCCTTACCAAAGGACACTAGCGACTTGGTTCCGAACCCGGGTCACCGGATTACGAAACCACTGCTCTACCGACTAAGGTATCGCGCCAGTGTCACAAATAAGGTATCATTATGCTCATCTGACCGTAATGAAATGCCTAAACCCCTGACCTTTTGAGGGCTCCGCCCCCTGGACCCCACACCAATTTGTGTCCTGCCAGTGTCACAAATAAGGTATCAAAATATGCCCATCTGACCGTAATTAAATGCCAATACCCCTTGACCTCCGCATGGGCTTTGCCCCTAGACCCCACGCCAATTTACGCAACGCTTTACCCGCTGAAACGTTCAGCGGGGCCTGCATGTAATGGTGGGGTGTGCGGATTTTTTTTTGTCTACCCCCCCCCCCCAAACGTAGGAGCGCTTTCGAACGCACTAAGAACGAGATGAGGACGAGATGAGGACGAGCTGAACTTGTTAGAATGGGTTTTGTCGTATTTGGAACGAGTTAGAACTAGTTAATAACGGGTTTAAAACTGACTACGGACCGGCTTGAACTGCCTGGAAATGGCAGATTTACCCGATCTGAAGTTGATATGAACTGACTTGTGCACGAGGTACAGACGAGATGGACGTATTGAGGACTATTTATGAATGACCTAGGGTCGTATTATTGACATTATTTACAAATTCTACTCCAACCACAACCCGATTTACGATTTTCTGTAGTGAGAACTAGTTTGGTGTGATGGGGGCTTTAGGCACTATGTTAGGCACCACTTTAAGACCGCAACACACGTCGGCTGCCTAAAATCGAAAGCTCGCTAACTATGTCCCCTCCGACTACGTCGGCGAGGGGATGATAAGAAAATCAAAACAATGTCACTTTATTTGAATCGATGATCTGGTGATGTCTCCTATATTGTTCGTCATTGTTGAGACAGATAACTTTAAAAATTATTTGTTGATTAACGTTTAGATATTTCAAAATGGTATATTATTATGATTTTTTTTTTATTTCATTAATTTACCATTCTCTGTGAGAATTCGTTTCAGCTATTTTTGTCATAATGAACACTTCTTTACCAGTGAAAACAAAAGATTTCTGATCCAACCACATTGAGTTCTTTCTCTTTGTATATTTGCTTGTATTATGTTGTTTTTAAATGGATTGTAATTTGTCCTGCTTTATACTTTTGTATAATTGGGATGTTTTTAATTTGGATATGTTGAAATTTATGAAATCAAATTAAAATTAAGGTTGTGTCAACTTGCAAACATCTCAAAGAATATTTATTTGCCATACAATTAAAAAAAAATGCAAGAAAACAACGTCAGTATTGAATAACTTGCCTTCAGTGTCATACTGTTAAAAAATTGTTTTTTAAAATAAAGATAAACGTATCTAAAAAATCATACATTCTAGCTAAAAGGTAAAAAAAGGCACATTTTCGCCAGGGGGGGGGGGGGGGAGGGGGGGGGGGTTGACGTCCTTGCCCGTATATTAATCTTTCATTTCCTAAATTTCATTAGCGACCGAAGCGAGATAGCTATAAAAACAAAATATGCATTCGGTATGGACATAACAAATACGAGCACCTTTGCTGTGAGAATATGAGAACTTTGTAAGTTCACGGGGGATGGGGTGCAGCAAGCAGCTCCCCTCCCCCGCCTCGTACACCCGTATTCTATAACTAAAATAGTTAGACAGAAGTCACCTTTTCCATAGCTGCAGTCCATCCGCCATGTCTAGACTGCAATCTCTTGACCATCTCGATATTATCACTTATGCGGACAAGCTGACCAAGACACAATGGATGAATCTAAAAGCAATGAAAATGGTAAGAATACTCACGATATCAAGAAAAAGATTAATGACGATGTTTCCCCATAGATTTGGTAACTTTTTGATAAAAATATCAACAAAAAATAGCAACAAAAAAGAAGTAATAATTACAATGAAAATAATAATAATAACAATCATAATATAATAACATTGATAATAGTAGCAGTCTTTTTTAAAACTATAATAAGGTTAAGAAAACTTGTAAGAAGGATAATAATGATTATAGTGGGTCCTTGTTTAGCGCTCATGTCTGTCAGACTTGACACTTCTGGCGCTCCTAAGTTATTATCCTTACTTTAACATGGCTGCCATTATGATGCTCTAGCATCTTAAAGATAAAGACCAGTTATGGTCATCCGATTGCATTGTGAAAGAAACGTTGTGGAATCAATCAGAAAAGGTTGATCATCTAGCATATAAGTATTGGTGTGTACTGCAATGTTCTGGAATCATCAAAATGATAAGAAATTTGGCCCAGTCTTGGTAAAGTTAAAAGCACTGTACACAGAAAGATGTATATGGGACTACGTGACACATGCGCGATATCTATCAGGTCCAAATAGATATAATAATTTACCAAATACATCCATTAGTAGGCGATTTTTCGGCAAAATTTGTATCATCACGTATTAGTCAAAACATATTCCATTTCATATTTTGAGAGGGGGGTGTTTCCAAAACTGGTCTTTACCAATTATCTCACCAATTTTCAAGAAAGGAGACAGGAGCAAGGCCTCCAACTACCGCCCTGTATCAATCACGTCCATCTGCAATAAACTGCTCGAACATGTCATTTTCAGCAATATCATGGATCACTATGACGAAAATAATATTCTCAATGATGTTCAGCATGGCTTTCGTCCTGGCCATTCATGTGAGACCCAGTTGATCATTACATCTCAAGATGTTGCACACTCTCTAGACCAGAAAGAGCAAGTTGATGCAGTTGCATTAGACTTCTCCAAAGCCTTTGACCGTGTACCCCATAACCGCCTCCTCCATAAGCTCCATCACTATGGTATCCATGACAACCTTATCAGATGGATCTGAAAGGTTACAACGTGTTGTTGTAGATGGAGAGTCATCTGAATGGGTTCCAGTCACCTCTGGGGTACCGCAGGGTACAGTTCTCGCCCCACTTCTGTTTATATCCTTCATCAATGACATAGTAGATGGGATCTCTTCCAAAATCCGACTCTTTGCTGATGATTGTCTTCTATACCGTCCGATCACTGATGTCACTGATAGCCAAGCCCTACAGCAAGATCTCAACAGGCTGCATATATGGGCTAACACATGGCAGATGAAATTCAACACCGAGAAATGCTACCACATCACATTCTCCCTACGTCGGAAAGCCATCACCACGACATACACGCTAGGAGACACTCCTCTTGCGTTGGTAACAGATCTCCGGTATCTAGGACTGACTTTCTCATCCAACTTGTCCTGGCAAGGCCACATGAACAACATCACATCCCGAGCCAATCGGATGCTGGGACTAGTCAGCAGAAATCTCCGCAAAACCTCACAAAAGATCCGCCAACAAGCCTACTTCTCTCTTGTTAGACCTCATCTGGAATACTGTTGCTCGGTCTGGAACCCTCACACAAACAAGCATATATCCAAAATCGAGGCAGTACAAAGGCGAGCAGCAAGATTCACCCTCCACAGATATCGTCGTATGGCCAGTGTCTCAGCCATGATTCAACATCTGAAATGGGAGAGCCTGGAGAGGAGAAGAAATGCTGCAAGCCTCCACCTCATGTACAAGATCCAAAACGACACAGTAGCCATCAATGCACACCATTACACAACACCCATGATTGCCAGCAACACACGACAGTATCACTCAAAGAAGTTGCTGGCTATCCCATCCCGCACTCAGCTCTACCAGAACTCATTTCCCCCCCGGACAGTAACTGCGTGGAATGCACTTTCAAAGATCACCCTTGACGCTACTTCACTGGAGGGCTTTAAGGGAGCGCTTCCACCAAGCATCTAGACCAAGAACTAGATAGTTTATTCCTTAGCACTACATCCTGACTTATGGATCCTGCTGAGTAACGTCATAGAAGTAGAAGTAGAAGTACCTTTAAGGAATTAATTCTTGCCAAGGAAAATACATCATCTATGTCGAGTGTGGCAAATGGAGATTAATGTCTTGCCAAAGGGCGTTTAATGCTGCGGTGGGGATTCAAACCCCGTAACCTGTCTGGTTACTGAACTACCGTACCACGAATCCTTTACAATTAGGCCCTATTTATCAAGGAAAAATGTTAAAGCATGTGCATAGTCGGTTAGATTTAAGCAAGACTAGCTGATTATGTCCTTGTTACCTTCCTTAGAGCTGCAGAATTCATCGTGAAGGTTTCTTGGCTGTCTTGGAAAGTCACAGTGAAGTCACCATATTTCGTTCTTCTATTCACAAATCCCTTCTTGCGAACAGTCTGTAATATAGATAAAGAGAGAGTAACCTTACAAATTGGCCGATTCATTATCTGCAATCTAGTTTGAAAGTTACAGTTAGGTCGGGGTAGTCTCCCCGGCTTGGCTACCGGCGGGGGGGGGGGGGGTTGGAGAGAGATATAGAGGGACGTCCACTGAAATGTTAACAGGGTGTATTTGCTCCCATCTCTATTACTTTAACGTTGAATTCATAAAAACATCGGAAGTGAATTTTAAGATTTTTAATACTAGTGCACCGTATGATAATATCAAGTAGGTAAGGTCCCCGTTTCATTCAATCCTTTTAGAAATTGCAATTTACAATGATTGACATAGTCTGCTTGCGGTATTTGATTGGCTGTGAACTAAATAGTTAAACTAAAATTGTTTCTGCTTAACAGGTTTTTGCGAAACCGGTTTTAGTGGTGTTTTTGAAGTTTTTATAAATCATAGTTTAAACTGTCCTTATACTTCGTCGAGGAGCACATGGTGAAACACCTTGTAACTGCAAAGAAAAGGCACTATACCGAATTCTCTGTGGCTTGGACTAGATTGGGTTAGAAAGGAAATCTTCTTTTCCATGTAAAATGAGCATGTCACCATGAGTAATACCTGTATGAAAATCTAGTATGTAAAATATTTCTCTCCAAACTATATTCAATGTACTGTCAAACCTGTCTATTGAGGCCAAACGAGGGAAAGAGACAAAATGGCCACTATAGACAGGTTCTACAACATACAATTTGTTCTCGAGGGTAACAAAATAGATGGCCACTACAGCCAGGTGGCCTTTATAGAGCGGGGGGCACTTAGACAGATATGACTGTAGTTTAATAACAGGTGGCAGCGGTGGGATATACATTTACTGAATTTACAAAGAAAAAAAAAAGGATATTTTTTCCCTCTTCATTACCAAGTTCATCATTTATCTGAATGTCAAAACATGGACGAATTACTTTTTGAAATAATAAAATTATAAAGTATTATTTTCAGTAAAAGCTAACATTTTGCAGCCTCAAAAAAATGGCCTAAGTGAAAATAGACTTATACTCACTTTGACCATTACAGGCTGCCACAACCCTCTGCGCTTGTGGAGTTCCTCTAATTCTGCAGGAGTGGCAGTTACCAGGACGTTGTCTCCTTCATTCACTGGCTCCAGATCCCCTACGATTAGCGAACAACTAAGGGTAAACAAATCTGTGCTATATGGCACGGCTTTTTCTACCTACGTGTCTAAAGGAAAACATCCGATCTAATTCTGTCAATTTTCATGTTTTATAACCCAATTATCACTGATGGCAATAGCAATCTCAATTCCAATCATGGCTGTTTGGTGGATTGTGGATGATGATGATGATGATGATGATGAAATGGATATTCATGACTATAAAATGACCACATATCTCTGGTTCTATTGCCAAGATTTAGGATCAGACCTTTTTCGCCTGATATCAATACGTATTGATAAACAGGGTAACCCCAAAAAGAATGCAATATCTGCTATCTGCAATTTCAGCGACCTCTTCACGGCTTGCCATACAATCAGCTGTTTTGACGGGACGGAAATGTGTTTCTCAACGCAGCTGGTTGTATGGGAAGCCGTCATGCGCACATTTCTCAACTCCGCTGCAAGCATTTTGCCGGTTGTAAAAGTATCAACGTTTGAAATAATATTGCCTCACAAAAATATCTGTAGAATCAAAACGCCTTACCGAAACACTTATAATCTTGGTGTCATTTTACTCGGAAAAAACAGAAATCAATCACATTGGTCAATGGTGTCTTCGAAATTGCAGATGTTGAAGACTTTGTGGAGCACCTCGTATATACAACTACTTGGAAACATACGAGATAAAATAAATTGTCTTAATTCTCAACCTCTAAGCACTCTAAGACATTGCTTTTCTCACCAAGATTTGGTAGGTGTCCAGCATACACAAAACCTCCTGACCCTGGTAGTGTACATAACATCTTAATGAGGTCTACCCTCTCTCGCCCAGAAGAGAACTCAACCGCTGCTCGTACATTGACTTTATCCTCAAGTGTCTGTCCATGTCTGACTACTGTCCCGAGTAGCTTATCTAGGAGGAAATAAAATAAAAGGTCTGATAGATATCATTTGTATAGAGAATTTCTTGATTATTCTTCATTTCTGTCGCCAAATGCAATTATTTGGAGATTTCATCTGGTATTATGTAACAGACAGTCATGTGCGGTGAACCCTTTTGATTAAATATAGGATTTCCCGGCCAAATTCGCGTGTTTGTCATTCGAATTCATTTACTTTGCATTTAAGTTAGCTCAGATCGGCTTTGCCATGCCAATTATCATTCAATTTTCCAGCTTTTGTATTTAATTTAGGATTTTGGTCGAAGGGTTTCATAGATCTGTCATTCAATTTAGAAACTGCTCAACTAACATTCAAATTAATATTCACTTTTCGAAGCGTAACTTTTATCATTCAAATTAACACCTGTCATTCGTATTCGTAATATTTTTTATTAAAGTTAGGAATGTTAGGGGGAAGAATTGCAACAAACTTTTACAGTTTTTAAATAATGCAGTTAAAATGCATGATTTGCCATTGGGGTCTAAGCTGTTATTCCATTTATTTATTTTCAGGACCATGCAGATGGGTGTAGTCAGACATAAAGTAAAGAAGCGGCGAAATCAAGGGATATGGCATTTCTGCACGGACATGTTCATATACCCGGGAAAGGTGGGGATACCCTCAATCGCCCCTTTTTACTACAGACTCGGAATTGTACAAAAGTAATTCACATCGTCTCTTATACCCAGCACACCCCTCTGTTTTTCTTAAATAGTTTCATAGTTTAATTGCGCGCCAGCAGATCGATGTCTAAAGACATGGCTAAATAATGAATCATGTTCAAATTGTTGACTCTAGTCCCTACCCCCAGTCACAATATTGTACCCTTCTTTCATAATGAAATTATGATGAAATTATAATAAATTTATGATGAAACATAAGACAAACAACTTCCTTACATGAACATTTACAAATATACTGAGACCATCAGGTCCGTAGATGCAAGTCGTTTTTTTCTTCTTAACAATCAAACTTAAAGTCTGATGAATATCAGATAAATCTAATAAGTATAAGTGTATAAATGCAAGAAAATGAAATATGATGAAATACACATGAAAAAACAATCTTGAAAGAAAAAGAATGAGCTACAAAAAGTGTGTAATAAACGAGAATTGTATAATGACCATCAATTTAAGTGCACAAAGTGCTAATTTGAATGCAACAAATAAATTAGAATGCTAAAAGTACACCGTCGCGTTGTCAGAAAATCGTGTTGCGCCAAATCGAATGACCAAATAGCGAAAGAAGCACAATGTTTGTTAATTTGAATGAAACATACGTAGATTCTAACGAAAATTCCATAGATTTGAAAACTAGAAAAGGGAATATAAACCCGAGATATACCTGACTGCACTAAAACCGTCGAATTTGAACGCAAGACAAATTAATTTGAATGACAAACTCGCGAATTTGGCCGGGAAATCCTATACTATGATAGCCACTTTACATGTTCATGCGTATTGCCAACATATATATGGAGAGTATATATCTTCTTCTTCTTTTTTTCTTCACAGAGTAGAAGATATCAAGACGAACCTGATTCAAGTCTCTTGTGCCACTGGGGATGTCTGACAACCTTTGCTCCGGCAAAGCTTCCTTCAAGAGCAAGGCGAGGAGATGATGATCTTGGTAGCATCTTAGGACTGCATCAATTACAAAATCAATATCGAACGCAGAAAATAGGGATTTTTAGATTGAGTGGACGAGAACGGCGTGGACGTCCACTTGTCATGCGTGTCCATGGCAAGCCGTATTAACATCTATTCCTATTTCTTCATATCAGGAATTGATTTTCTGTTGTAAAGCAATGGTAATTTGTGATATCAAGAAATAGGAATAAATGATCATTGGACGTTCACGCCGTTCTCGTCCACTCAATATAAAAGTCCTTACTGTTATGTGTCAACTTGTAGCAACGAAATATTAGAAATTTTAGACCTGACTTCGATTGTCTGATTTTTAAAGATACTAACTAAGATTCGAACATGCTTAATAAACATTCGGATTGGTCTGTGATTAGGGGGCCGTTTCACGAAACCGACAAAAGTCTAACTTCGTGGACATCCCACATGTATGTGTTATAGAACTAACACGAGCTTCTATGAAAACTTAAGTGAACTTAAAATGTTGATGGTTTCGAGAAACTGGCCCCAGGAGGTGCTCTCTGATCGACATCTAAAAAAAATAAGAAGCAATATCTGTTATTTCAAATGTAATTCATCATACCACTGTAGTTTCTGTCTGTTGGCAGTTAACTTACTCTAACATGTGGTGAATACAAATCATTATTTAATATCTTAAAGACAATAGCGACTGTTAAATTAAGTTCAATACACTCCGCTTTTAGGAGCAATTCAAATTTCAATTACAGGACTCGATGTACACAAATGGGACTAGATGATATCGGTCCAGTGTTAGCCAATCTTGATATATACCAAGAGATGTACGAACAAGAGTAGTGATGTACTGTTTCAAAAACCTGAGATATTATGAAGAACAAGGTGCCATTTCTCCCTAAAATGCCCATAATACTAACCGATTTCATGGTCTCTCATCACCAGGCGCGTACGCAGGATTTTTTCAAGGGGGGGGTTTTAACATTTATAAATCGGTCCGTAAATTTCACAACGACTCAGCCAGCCGCTGAATAAGCGGGGGGGGGGGGGGGGGGGGGGGGGGGGGGGGGGGTAAGAGGACACATTTTTTTTTTTTTGGTCCCAAAAAAATCGCAACGACTCAGCCGACCGCTGAATAAGCGGGGGGGGGGGGGGGGGGGGGGGGGGGGGGGGGGGTAAGAGGACACTTTTTTTTTTTTTTTGGTCTCGAAATTTGGAAATTTGACATTTTGCTCCGTTGGGGGGGGGGGGTAAGGTCACCTTTTTAGGTCGGCCATGGGAATAATTTTTTTTTTTTTTTTTTTTTTTAATAATTTAAAAAAAAAAAAAAAAAAAAAAAAACAATCCAAATGGGGGGGGGTTTTAGGTTTTTTTTAGGGGGGTTTACACACAAAAAATTTCCAAAGGGGGGGGGGTTTAACCCCCCAAACCCCCCCCCCTGCGTACGCGCCTGCTCATCACCCAAATCCCACAAAATACATTTAAAATGTTGAGTGTCATACACACGTACCCCATGGATGTTTTGTCTGAAGACAACACTCTCATGAATATATGACTGAGATCATGTTCATCATTCATGTAGCAAGTGGTACAGAGGTCAATGGCGTAGCACTCGGTGCATCTCCATCGTATCCCCCTAATCTCATCAACGTCGCATCCGTCACACCAGACCTTTGGATGACACACTAATACAAAGGGAGAAAAAACACAATACCAATGTCAACAAAGACTAATGGAAAATAATCTCAATTTGACCTTAATTTGACCATATCGTAACACTGACCAAGAACGTTAAGTTTGCGAGACACTGTAGAGCAAGGGCTATGAGCGCCCAATAAAAGCGGACACAGGCGTTTTATATGCAATAACCCATCGTCATCAATATTAGGGACTTTTAGATTGACACGTCGACATAGTGGACTGCTAATTAAGTGTGCCTGCCCAGTGCCTTAAAAGGAAGTCTACTGTGTCGACGTGCAAACCTTAAAAGGACGTGACCCGTAGCAGTCCACTATGTCGACGTGCAAATCTAAAAGTCCCTAATATCGTCACAATGCAAAGCAATCATATCAATGTAATACAGCTACTAATTAATTAAATTTATAGACCACATATTATGTTTGTTTGCTCCCTTTATCAAGCATATGAAACGCCGGAACCCTGGTGGGTTGAAATCTAATATGGAATATTGTCAATTTTAGTAGTTGTATCCGGCATATTATCCATAGGACACTGTGGAATATTTCTTCATTCGATTGACTTTACATTAAGAGGACTACTTTAAAATAATTTGTGATAATTGTGTCATTTTACATGGCATTTGGTTAAAATGTCCTTCTCGATCCAGGTGTGTCATAGTTCCTGGTAAGGAAGATAAATTGTGGCATTCAGGCGGAATTTTATTAGTATCTACCTGTGCCAGGAAAAATCAATTTTTAACGAGCATGAGTTTATGTATAAAACGCCATTTGTCATTGATGTAATTGGTGAGAGGTACGAACCATATCAAAACATCAATAGTTGTCGAGGTGTCGTGGTTTAGTAATTTAATGTAATAGTTAATTTAATTGACTGTTATTCCTAGGGTTCGACTTTGAATCTTAGCCTGTCACTAACGTTCTTTGGTAAGACAATAATCTATATTTGCCACTCTCCACCCAGGTGTAAATGGATACCTTGCAATTGCTAGGTTAATACTAATTGCAGGGCCCTCAAGGAGAACAGCATTGAAACGGATGAGGCTTCCCTGGGTTAACAAAAGTATTAGTAACCATATTGGGAACTACCTGCATTAGCTGTATCAATGATCCTGAGATCGTAACCCTGGTCATAGCCAGCCCGGTAGAGACCTTTATCTCCACTGTCCCACTGGATGAGAACAGACAGCTTTGGAAAATGTGGTTGGCGTTCACCATGTAGTCTCAGAACCGTTCCTGCGTATCCCTTTCCGCCATCTTGGTTCTTATAAGTCCAATCAGGGCCTCGTATGACACGGAAACCTGGTTTTACAGAGCTTTCCATTTGTTTTACCTTCAACAGCTAAATAGAGGGCAGAAAAGGAAAAAGACAGAGAGATAGATAGGTAGAAATATATATATGTAGATAGCAGGCGCGTACGCAGGATTTCAAGGGGGGGGGGGTTAACATTTTTAAATCGGGCCGAAAATTATGATATGGATATTTATGACTATAATTATGAGCATATCTTTCCGGTTCTATTTACATGATTTAAGAACGTATTCTATCCCCTGATATCAATACTTAGTGGTAGGAAGGGTAACCCAAAAGAACGCAATACCTGCGATCTGCAACTTCAGCGACCTCTTCACGGCTTGCCATACAATCAGCTGTTTTAACGGGGGGGGGGGGGTAAGAGGATACTTAAAAAAAATGTTTTGGTCTCGAAATTTGAAAATTTGACGTTTTGCTCCGTTGGGGGGGGGGGGGGAAGGGTAAGGTCAACTTTTTTAGGTCAGCCATTGGTATAATTTTTTTCTTTTTAATTAAAAAAACAAAAAAACAAAACAAAGGGGGGGGGGGGTTAACCCCATAAACTCCCCCCCCCCCCCCCCTGCGTACGCGCCTGGTAGATAGATAAAGAGAGAGACAGGAAGGGTAGAAATTCGTGTGATGGTAGGAGAGGTCCATAGATATCATAGTTTGCAGTTCAATCCACTATTTTATTTTCATACCATTTGAAACAGACAGTTTAACCAAGGTTCATGAATTAGGATCATATTCGTTTATTATTTATCCTGTTAAAAACATATTGTTTTTAACAAGATAAAGAGAAACCTCCATATTTCTCATGAATAATCCATCGATATGGAGCAAGAATAGTATCAATTAATAATTATTCCTTATAAGACATTGTTTACTTGTTTACCTGCCTTCTGTTTATGCCATTGTATACTTCATTATATGTCACTTTAAAAAAAGAATATACCGTAATGCAAGAACAACTTCCTCTTTTTCTTTTTCTTTTGATTATAATTTTTATTTGAAGTAACCAAGAGTTGAAAGTGAAAAAAACCTACCCGCTGCCGCATATTCTTTTTTAAAGTGATATATTATTTTACATTTCAATGAAAATTCAACTTAGGCATTCATTCACTTATCCGATTAAGATCTATTCGACATTCAATTAACATGCAAATTAAGTTTTTTTCGTGCTTCTTTGGAAAACAGGAAATAATAGGCACTTGTTTTTGCATGTGGGGAACTGCCTTGTATTATGCATGCATGCTTGCAACCCCAGGGGTTTATTTTGCATAACTATATTTACATGTAAATTAAATTATGTATCACAACTGTAAATAATAGATATTCAAATAACAGAGCTTGTAAATGAAAGGACATATATATATATTTATATATGCGCACATAAATGACTTGCTATGAATATTACATAAGGGCTTAACCCGTCATACTGAGAAATGGGATGAACATGAAAGGAGGAACAAAAAAAGGTTTAGTTCTGGGGAGAGGTGGAAACTATTTTTGTGAGCGTTTTCATTGTTATTATCCAAGTGTGGAAGAAAATCAGAGAGAAAAATGTTCCATGAATTACTCTTGTTTGACTACTACAAAATACTCATTAATCAAGCTCTACAATATTCAGATACCTGTTTGATTTATATACACCTACCAGGCAGGGGCTAGACCTTTTTCAGGGGAGATGTAGAGGCCACCGATTATCGACAAAACTAGCCACAAATTACTGGAAAATATATTAAATGCATACACAAATATATAAATGCACACACACACACACACACACACGCGCGCGCGCGCGCGCACTAGCGCACCATCACCCACACACCTATCCACCACACAACCCAGGCGCATATAATCATTCTCTGCCTCTCTCTCTCTCTTTCATATTTCTTTAAAAATTGGCAAATTATACACACTTATTTACCAACACTCACACCCCTGCGCAAAGAGAAATCTTCCCCGTCTCTCTTGAATGTTCTTTAAAATTAATCAAATTATACACACACCAAACACACTTATAAACCCACCACCATTCACAGGGGCACACACTCAACCCTCTCTCTCTCACTAATAAATATTTACTGATCAAAGACTAGTTTAATGTTATAGAAAAATAAGAATGAATTACTTGTTCTTTGCTTCCTTCTCCTCTCTGTCCAATTTTGCGTCACTGGTTTCATAAAATGACTTCTTCCAATAAGTATGTTGTTGATCAGTTATAGCGGCTTTAAAACCTGGCACATACAAGTACAGCCAATTCCCAAAAGGCTGTCTGCAGCATATTGAGTGCGTTAAGCGTTCACGGGATTCCCCAGTATTGCGCAATACCAACTGGCAGGAAATTCCTATTGCACACTGTTTAAATACACTTCCGGCCATCTTACGCACCATAAGGATTAAGAATCGAGAATAGTACACCGACACAGATGACCCGACACAGCAACATATTTACCCGTGTCTTTCTTGCACCCTCGACGAGACGACTCCACCAAACAACCCCCTCTCTCTTTTGCTCCCACTCCTCCTCTCTCATGCTGTGACCTCCCCTCTCTCTCTCCTCTTTTTCACCCATGAACACATTTTTTTTTGGCCCTCGAAAATATACAAATTTGCACCCCCCCCCTTGGGCGCCAGGGGGGGGGGGGGGCCCATCCCCCCAAAAGGTAAAAATCTCGTGTTTTTACACATTTTTTTTTCGCAGCGGGGGGGGGGGGGGGGGGGGGGGGGGGGTGTGACCGCGCCGTTTGTCCTACCAGTTTCGTTTGTCCGTCAGAAATAATATGCGGGTTTTCTGCTCGCACGGATCGTCCCTGACTCGTACGGGTCGTCCGGCTACCCGCACATTCTGTCCCCCCATTGTTTTACGTGTATATTTGATAAAAGGAAGCAACTCGGCAAATCAATGTATTTAGACTCATTGTAAATCATGTGGTTGACATTTTTTCTAGAAATTACATAATAATAACTCTACAATTTTTTTTAAAGCAAATGGGCCAGTCCTTTCGAAAGTAGAAGTAAATATTTTCTTTAAAACCTTTATTCTATGTAGGCATACTCGTGATATCGGCCCCATAATTGTTGTAATCGATTATACTTTTGTACGTGGCTTCGAACTTCAACCAACTCACTACTAATACTCGTGATACAGGCCCGCCCCAAGTATTTGGGGGCGTTTCGAGGTTTAATGAAGGAGAAATTGGGAAAAAAGTGATTACAAATGGGGTTGAAAGTAAGTGGGGGAGGCTAGAGTATTTAAGATAAGGTAGAGCGTAGCACAAATTGGCGGATGCTCAGGGGGTAGGGGCATTTAATTACGGTCAGGTGAGCATATTTTAATACCTTATTCATGACACTGGCAGGTCACTAATTGACGTATGGTCCAAGGGGCGGAGCCCCCGGAAGCGCAGGAGTTTTAAGCATTAAAATTAAGGTCAGATTAGCATCCAGGGGCCAGCCTTAGGTCCCAAGGTGGGGTCCAGGGGGCAGAGCTCCCAGAAGCTCAGGGGTATGGGCATTTAATTAAGTTCACATGAGCATACTTTCTTTTAATTTCTTTCTATTTAATTCTCTGTAATATACTTTTTCAAAAGTGTGGGGGGGGGGGGAGGATTGAGCCCCAAGCCCGCCGTTCCGCGGGATCTGACATGTAGGCCTCTAAATAGTAAATAAGCACATTTCTTGCCTGACTGTAAATTTTGATATTTGTCATTCTCCAACAAACGCATAACAAGTATAATTTACTGAAAAGTGAGGAAAAATCCCGGAAAATTAGGCCAAATTCATCAACATCTGTAAATCACTGGTATCAAATTTGAACAAAACAAATCACTTTTAAAGTTAATTTTCGGGGGGGGGGGGGGGTGGGGGTAGCAACTGGCTGAATACTTGCACCTATGGTGTCGAGGGGCTCTTTCTTTATTTTTGTTTGGTAAAAAATAAGGTTAGTTTATGTGGGTGTCACTCAGGCGCGGAAATACGGGGGGCGACGGACCCGCCCTCTCTTTGAAAAAAAGGAAAGGAAAGATCAGAACTAGCCCTAACTATCATTCCAGGATTTTGTTTCAGAACCTGAGACAAAGTTACCCAATCCCTTTAAGTTTCAAAAAGTAGACTTCATTGACCTGTACATAGGATTAGGAACCGGGGGGGGGGGTGCTTGGGGGCACAGCCCCCCAAACAAAATATTGGGGGGGGGGGGGGGCTCAGATATCATTGAGCCCCCAAAAAAATATTTTTTGGCGGGGCTTATAGATATCATTGAGCCCCCCCCCCATATGTTGGTGGGGCTCAGATATCATCAGCCCCCAAATTGTTTTTGGTGGGGCTCGAATAACATCACGGAGCCCCCCGATATTTTTGTGGGGTTCGGATAACATCACGGAGCCCCCCGATATTTTTGAGGGGCTCGGATATCATTGAGCCCCCCCTCCCTAATATTTTGTTCGTGCTGATAAGTTAAGTTTTTTTCGTGCTTCTTTGGAAAACAGGAAATAATAGGCACTTGTTTTTGCATGTGGGGAACTGCCTTGTATTATGCATGCATGCTTGCAACCCCAGGGGTTTATTTTGCATAACTATATTTACATGTAAATTAAATTATTGTATCACAACTGTAAATAATAGATATTCAAATAACAGAGCTTGTAAATGAAAGGACATATATATATATATATATATTTATATATGCGCACATAAATGACTTGCTATGAATATTACATAAGGGCTTAACCCGTCATACTGAGAAATGGGATGAACATGAAAGGAGGAACAAAAAAAGGTTTAGTTCTGGGGAGAGGTGGAAACTATTTTTGTGAGCGTTTTCATTGTTATTATCCAAGTGTGGAAGAAAATCAGAGAGAAAAATGTTCCATGAATTACTCTTGTTTGACTACTACAAAATACTCATTAATCAAGCTCTACAATATTCAGATACCTGTTTGATTTATATACACCTACCAGGCAGGGGCTAGACCTTTTTCAGGGGAGATGTAGAGGCCACCGATTATCGACAAAACTAGCCACAAATTACTGGAAAATATATTAAATGCATACACAAATATATAAATGCACACACACACACACACACACACACGCGCGCGCGCGCGCGCACTAGCGCACCATCACCCACACACCTATCCACCACACAACCCAGGCGCATATAATCATTCTCTGCCTCTCTCTCTCTCTTTCATATTTCTTTAAAAATTGGCAAATTATACACACTTATTTACCAACACTCACACCCCTGCGCAAAGAGAAATCTTCCCCCGTCTCTCTTGAATGTTCTTTAAAATTAATCAAATTATACACACACCAAACACACTTATAAACCCACCACCATTCACAGGGGCACACACTCAACCCTCTCTCTCTCACTAATAAATATTTACTGATCAAAGACTAGTTTAATGTTATAGAAAAATAAGAATGAATTACTTGTTCTTTGCTTCCTTCTCCTCTCTGTCCAATTTTGCGTCACTGGTTTCATAAAATGACTTCTTCCAATAAGTATGTTGTTGATCAGTTATAGCGGCTTTAAAACCTGGCACATACAAGTACAGCCAATTCCCAAAAGGCTGTCTGCAGCATATTGAGTGCGTTAAGCGTTCACGGGATTCCCCAGTATTGCGCAATACCAACTGGCAGGAAATTCCTATTGCACACTGTTTAAATACACTTCCGGCCATCTTACGCACCATAAGGATTAAGAATCGAGAATAGTACACCGACACAGATGACCCGACACAGCAACATATTTACCCGTGTCTTTCTTGCACCCTCGACGAGACGACTCCACCAAACAACCCCTCTCTCTTTTGCTCCCACTCCTCCTCTCTCATGCTGTGACCTCCCCTCTCTCTCTCCTCTTTTTCACCCATGAACACATTTTTTTTTGGCCCTCGAAAATATACAAATTTGCACCCCCCCCCCTTGGGCGCCAGGGGGGGGGGGGGGGGGGCCCATCCCCCCAAAAGGTAAAAATCTCGTGTTTTTACACATTTTTTTTTCGCAGCGGGGGGGGGGGGGGGGGGGGGGGTGTGACCGCGCCGTTTGTCCTACCAGTTTCGTTTGTCCGTCAGAAATAATATGCGGGTTTTCTGCTCGCACGGATCGTCCCTGACTCGTACGGGTCGTCCGGCTACCCGCACATTCTGTCCCCCATTGTTTTACGTGTATATTTGATAAAAGGAAGCAACTCGGCAAATCAATGTATTTAGACTCATTGTAAATCATGTGGTTGACATTTTTTCTAGAAATTACATAATAATAACTCTACAATTTTTTTTAAAGCAAATGGGCCAGTCCTTTCGAAAGTAGAAGTAAATATTTTCTTTAAAACCTTTATTCTATGTAGGCATACTCGTGATATCGGCCCCATAATTGTTGTAATCGATTATACTTTTGTACGTGGCTTCGAACTTCAACCAACTCACTACTAATACTCGTGATACAGGCCCGCCCCAAGTATTTGGGGGCGTTTCGAGGTTTAATGAAGGAGAAATTGGGAAAAAAGTGATTACAAATGGGGTTGAAAGTAAGTGGGGGAGGCTAGAGTATTTAAGATAAGGTAGAGCGTAGCACAAATTGGCGGATGCTCAGGGGGTAGGGGCATTTAATTACGGTCAGGTGAGCATATTTTAATACCTTATTCATGACACTGGCAGGTCACTAATTGACGTATGGTCCAAGGGGCGGAGCCCCCGGAAGCGCAGGAGTTTTAAGCATTAAAATTAAGGTCAGATTAGCATCCAGGGGCCAGCCTTAGGTCCCAAGGTGGGGTCCAGGGGGCAGAGCTCCCAGAAGCTCAGGGGTATGGGCATTTAATTAAGTTCACATGAGCATACTTTCTTTTTAATTTCTTTCTATTTAATTCTCTGTAATATACTTTTTCAAAAGTGTGGGGGGGGGGGGGGAGGATTGAGCCCCAAGCCCGCCGTTCCGCGGGATCTGACATGTAGGCCTCTAAATAGTAAATAAGCACATTTCTTGCCTGACTGTAAATTTTGATATTTGTCATTCTCCAACAAACGCATAACAAGTATAATTTACTGAAAAGTGAGGAAAAATCCCGGAAAATTAGGCCAAATTCATCAACATCTGTAAATCACTGGTATCAAATTTGAACAAAACAAATCACTTTTAAAGTTAATTTTCGGGGGGGGGGGGGTGGGGGTAGCAACTGGCTGAATACTTGCACCTATGGTGTCGAGGGGCTCTTTCTTTATTTTTGTTTGGTAAAAAATAAGGTTAGTTTATGTGGGTGTCACTCAGGCGCGGAAATACGGGGGGCGACGGACCCGCCCTCTCTTTGAAAAAAAGGAAAGGAAAGATCAGAACTAGCCCTAACTATCATTCCAGGATTTTGTTTCAGAACCTGAGACAAAGTTACCCAATCCCTTTAAGTTTCAAAAAGTAGACTTCATTGACCTGTACATAGGATTAGGAACCGGGGGGGGGGGGGCTTGGGGGCACAGCCCCCCAAACAAAATATTGGGGGGGGGGGCTCAGATATCATTGAGCCCCCAAAAAAATATTTTTTGGCGGGGCTTATAGATATCATTGAGCCCCCCCCCCCATATGTTGGTGGGGCTCAGATATCATCAGCCCCCAAATTGTTTTTGGTGGGGCTCAAATAACATCACGGAGCCCCCGATATTTTTGTGGGGTTCGGATAACATCACGGAGCCCCCCGATATTTTTGAGGGGCTCGGATATCATTGAGCCCCCCCTCCCTAATATTTTGTTCGTGCTGATGAGTTGAGGGAAGTGTATGCCGGAGATATTGACTTTGTAGCATTAACTCGGCAGCTTACAAGCCTCCAAGACGTGTGTGACGATGAGAGGAAACCTATCAAATACATTAAAACAATCTGTGAGATTTTAAACAACAGTCTAATCTAAAAGAGATCATTCTCAGAGGTGCACATCCTTCTTCTTATTTACCTTACCATCCCGGTTACAACGGCAACTTGCGAGAGAACATTCCCTGTCTTGAAACGGTTCAAAACTTATCTGATAAGTACAGTGACCCCAAGAAAGCTCAACCAAAGCTTAATATTACTCATACATAAATCTCGTACAGTTAAACTGGACTTGAAAAATATTGCCCAAAACTTTGTTTCCAGGAACACAAGAAGACAAAACTTCTTTGGCACATTTGTCTAAGGCTGCATGTGCACCTCAAAAGAAGAAAAGTCTGAAATTTTTCGCCGCGATGACATAGACGAGGAACAAAGAATTAATTTCCAGGTGCAAATTAAAGACAAAGGAGGATCTAAAAATTATATTTTTTGGGTGGTGCCACATTTCAGTTTTTAAATATGTCCGATTATAGGCATGTGTGACAATAACAGTTTTGTTTTTCACGTTCCTGGGGTATTATTTTTTCCAAAGGTGTTAAATGTGTGTTATTTTAACACCTAGTACTTTTTCTTACTTAATAAAAGTAAACTGAATATCTTACAATTCAACGATTTCTTCAAGTAGGCCTACTTTTATTAATTTCTTCAACTGCTTAAAATTAAGGCTACAAATGCTTTGTTACTGTAGAGCTGTAGTGTGAACGGGCTACTTAGTAATTCACATCCTCTCCTATCTGTTTGTTTTCATTCCTCTGTTAGTCATCATTTATTTGCTACCTATGATATTTGAATATTCATTATTTCCTTTTATTAAATGAACATGTAAATACCTATATATGCAAAATAAACCCTGGAGGTTTAAAGTTGTAAAGCCCAAAGCAGTTCAACACACGCAATCATGAAATAAGGGTGTCTTCATCTAAGTGTCTCTGTAAGTTTAGAACCACGCCCTGTGCCTACCCGCTCAGGCCACTCTACATTCAGGGGCGTCGCTAAAGGGGGGGGGGGGGGGGGGGTGTGGGGTTGAAGTCAGTGGGATTTTTTTTAATGTCGGTCGGCCAGCAATTTGTTCCCCTTCGAACTGTGACTTTTTATCGGAAAAAAGAAACATCTTTGATAATTCAGACAATGATTTAGAGTCGGTACAATGAATCGTCTTCTTTTTCTAATAATTTAATGAAACGTCGAAGCTCCCGCGCTTCGCGCAAGAGGGGGAAAACTGAATTCAGACAATTAGGGTTAAGAGTAGAGAACGGTATACAACAAATCGTCTTCTTTCTATAATAATTTAATGAAACGTCTAAGCTTCCGCGCTTCGCGTGGGATGGGGAAACTGAATTCAGACAAGGATTAAGAGTCGAGAACGGTCCAACAAATCGTCTTCTTTTCATAATAATTTAATGAAACGTCTAAGCTACCGCGCATCGCGCGGAAGGCCTTTCACCCATCCCCTCCCCCACCTATAGGGAGCGCTTTGCGCGCTCTTTAAGTGATTCGCTGGCTCAATACCACCCCTCCCTAAAATAAGATCCTAGCTACGCGCCTGCATTAAAATATATAGCTATGATGCTTAATAAGTTGACGAAATAATGTGTATGTCGTCGACGAA